AACTGGGGATTTACCAAAGTAGCTGGGAAGAGGTGATGTGACACTGATTGCCATTTTTTTTTTCCTTATAGGTGTACCCACTACACCTGTCCCACAATCACAGCTCCTGTGACACAGAATTTGCACTTACTTGTCAGTCTTTCTCTACCTATACTATCTACAAACTCCTTGAGAGCAATTATCACACTTTATCCATCTTGGTATTATCAGGCATATCGCACAGAAGGTGCTTTGGAAGTTTGGTGAATATACTGATAAACGAAAAGACAAATCTTCACAGACAAAACCATAAAAGATGGAGGGAAAAACTAAAGGTATAGATCAAGAGTCCTAGAAGCCAAATGAGACTCTGACAGAACCCTAAGGACAGATAAGATTTGAAAAGGAAAGGCATCCTACACAGACAGAACAGCACCACCAAAGAACTGGCAGTAGTCAGAAACAGTACACAGTACTGAGCCAGAAAGAGCTTGAGACATGATTTAGTACAATAATTCAATTATCTGAGGGATGTTGTAAATATTCAATAAAAAAGTCTATCTAAGCTGAGTACAGTGGTCCACATCTGTAATCCTAGCTACTTCAGAGGCAGAGATTGGGAGGATCATGGTTTGAACTGGGCAAAAAGTTTGTGAGACTCCAACTCAGCCAATTAAAAAGCTGGGCATGATGATTCCCACCAATCATGCCAGCTAAGGAAGTATAAACAGGAGGTTTGAGTTCCAGGTTGACCAGGGCATACACATGAGATCCTATCTCAAAAATAACCAAAGTAAAAAGGGCTGGAGGCATAAGTCAAGTGGTAGAGCACTGGCCTACCAACCACAAGGCCCTGAGTACAAAATGCCAATAAATAAATAAATAAATAGTGTATCTAAACAAATGAGTTGGCATAACATAGTCATGAAATTGTAGCCACAGTCAAAAATGATAATTATAGGGGCAGCGGGGAGGTAGCACAAACAATGTATACCCATGTAAGTAAATGTAAAAATAACAAAAAAAAATTTTTTTAAATGGTAATTATCATTTGTTGGGTTATCTACTCCATGCCCAGAACCATGCTGAATGAAGAGAATGAACAAAACACACTTAGACTCTGGTCTCTCATTAAGTTTACAGTATAGTGGGGAAGACAGACAATTAAAATAACCATTAGGGCTGAAGAAGTACAGAGGGAACTAAAAGAACATAAAATAGGTCACTAAATCAGTGGGTCAAAAGAGATAGTTCATTGGTTTTCTAATTGTGACTTCAAACACCAAAAGGCTTGAGTTAGACTAAGAATAAAGGGATTCATGACAAAACAAAGGTTTAAAGACCACCAAGCTAGTCCAATTTCCTCTTTCACTAAGAGTAAAATAAGGCCCAGAAGAGGTAAATTACTCATTTAGGCAATAATACCTCAAGTTGGTTGAAGGCTGGGATACCTGCTTTGAACTATGTCTTCAGCTGGAAACTACGCACTGATCTGCGTGATATCACATCATTTTGACGGATGAGTAGGCACTGAGAGTGAACACATCCAGAATTCACAGCCACTAGCCAGGAAAGCTGGCTGCTCTAATGGGTTCTAATGTTTTCTACCTCAAGTCCTAAACTAGCTCTCTGAGCCAAGAAGTTGGCTCTTCTCAGAGATGACCAGCCATACCTTTAGAAGAAAATCACTGGCAGTCCCCTACTTCTCAATCACTAGAGACTACAGGTGTTTGGATACCTGTTGGTTGGTGACGTAGGGTGGTTGTGGAAATGACTTCAAACAGCCCTTCTTACTTTAAGTTTCTGTGATTACAGTTGGTTGCTGTGGTAATAAGTGAGATAATGTAGGTAAAGAGCTTTAAATAGTAGTTTACAGTTAAGATGGTAACTCTAAGGCCTCTTTTCTATTCATCTTTCCAAAGCAGAAGTCATTAGCAAAGCCTAATCACCTCTCAACTTTAAGAGAAAGTAATAATGGAACCAGACAAAAAAAGAGGAAAGCAGTATGAATAACATGCTATTATAGACCATGTATTATGTCAATGAATCTGAGTTGGGGAAACAGGGAATCCTGAAGAAAAAAAAAAAAAACAGCATATGCATATTTTTCCAAAGCAAAGAACACCAACCCCATCTTAGCCAGGCTACCCAATACTTTTTTATAATCTGGGCTCCACAATAGGGACTATTAAGCAAACAGAAAGTGCAACAGGGAAGCGACTCTGATGCTACATACAAATTACAGCTTTTTTTTTTTTTTGTAAACTCAACCTTAATTTTTCAGCTCATTTCCATCTCTATCATAAAGACTAAACTGACTTCCCCTAGCAGACTCTAGTGCTTGTCTCTTGTGCCTCACTGAACTTGCTACACACTTTCATTGTAGCAGTTATCTAGTAGTACTGTAATGGGCTATTTGTATTCTCCTCATTGGATTATAAATTGGTAAAGCTCCTGTCTTACTCATCTTTGAATTTCCAATGCATGACACACAGTAGATCCCCATAATTGCATATTAAATGATGGACTGCACCTTATCTTCAACTAGTTAAGACTGAGCAGAAACAGTGGGGGGGAAGCATTAATAGAAATGCACACAAAGTAAGGTCTGCCAGACTAGACCTTTGTTCTTTCTGCAGCTTGAAGGGAATGAGTATTCCTGCTTCTCAGAGTTTCTTTCTTAAAACACACAAGAATAGAACCAGTTCACACAGAATTTCCAGGCAATAGATTATATTCTTTCTCAGAGAAAAAAACAAGTGACAAGATTTCTAAAATGAATACTAGTGGTGTCATGTGGAGTTGATTGTAAACCTAACACTCTGGAAAATGTATTATATTAACAGTAGCTTTTAAGTCCTTAAAACAATAAAGAAAAACTGAGAAGCAAAAATCAAAAGTATCCTACATGAAATCTTTAAATTCTTTTCTCTCCCAAAACTTTTGCTCTTTATCTTTATGAACCCTGACACAACACTAAATCTGTATTTGAAACTATGTAACCATCTCAAAGAAAGCCCAAGACTAACAAATCATAAGTAATAAACTTCAATATAGTATCTACTTTGTTTCAAGGTGCTTTCAAATATATCTCATTGAATGGCAGCCAACTGTAATCACAGAAACTTAAAAGTTAGAAGGGATGTTGGAGGTCAATTCCACAACTACCCTACCTCACCAACCAACAGGTATCCAAACACCTCTAGTCTCTAATGATTGAGAGGTAGGGGACTATAATGCTTAAATTCTCCCCTACTCTGACCAACTGTCAGTTTCTCAGTCTCATCCCCCCACTATAATAATCCCAATGTGATAAATCAACGAAGTTAACACACCACCTTTGCTTGCTAAATCCACTTCCTTTCTCAGCCTCACAATCAATCCTCCACACTCTCCCCCTAACAAATGCACAGTCAGAGGCCTCTAAGATATTGACCCCTCAGAAATCCCACTGATTCCATCTCTGACAATCAATTCTCTCCCTCATATTCCTCTCTGCTATCTATTTGATGTCATATGCAAGACCACAAGCACCTCTAGCTAACACTGTCCCTTTAGCCTCAGATTTTCCCTTTTCCTTTCTCACCTTCTCTGCTTCTCAGCCCTGTCCTTTCATTTCTTTTATGCTCAGTGTCTCCTTTCTCCTAGAAATTACTTCAAGGACCCCTGGTAATTCACAACATCAGACTTTAAATTCCTATTAGATAGGTAAAGGGGATATACACTCTCAAGTTCACCTTCAAGGAAGTCAAGAGAGAGACAGACAGAAATTTATCATTCAGCCTTTAAGATTCAACAACTCAGCTGGGAGTCAAGTGGCTCACGCCTGTGATTCTAGCTACTTGGGAGGCTCAGATCAGGAGGATATTGGTTCAAGGTCAGCCCGAGCAAACAGTTCGAGACCCAGCTACAAAATAACCAGAGCAAAATAGACTGGAGGTGTGGCTCAAGCAGTAAAGCACCTGCTTTTCAAGTGGGAAGCCCTCAGTTCAAACCCCAGTCCCATTAAAAAAAAAATTCAACAATTCTAGGTAGCTTTCCTTAGCCCAAACTGAATTGGTACCCTCTTCTCACAGTCACCATTATATCTTTGATGCAATGACTAGTCTTCTTGTCTGTGCCCACCACCCACTACGCTGTAGGCTGTATAAGGGGAGGCCCCTTGTATCTCTAGCACCTAGCCCAGGCCCCGACACAAAAGTGATAATGTTTGTTTGGCTAGTGAATAGGCAAATTTAGGTATACAATTATTCATTCATCCACTTGTTCTTTCATTGGTTGACCAAAACTTTACTGGGCAGGCATAATGTACGAAGTCCTAGAATGTAGGAATAAATAATAAGATAGTTCCTACCTAAAAAATAATTCAAAGCTATAACACTCGTAGGTGAACACTCTTTCGGGTCTGAGTCCCCAACCCCCCACGCCAAGCTTAGGCGGTGGCTCCCACAGTGAAACCCGGCCCTCCTTGCAGAAGTCCACGCCCCTCCAACTCAAGCTCCCACTCAGCCTTTTAGTCCTAACCCTAGGACCCCCAGCTAATGAGCTCCAAATCTTAGTAGCCCTGCCCCTCCGGCCTCTCTCCCTGTTCTCCGTCTCCACCCTTAAGACTACGGCAAGTCTTTTACCCCTTAACCGCCTCAGGGTCCTCGAGTCAGGAGTACCTAGGATTTACCCCACTGAGCGCCCGTCTCCCAGTCAGCTTCTTCCAGCTCAGAATTCATCTCTTCTCTACTAGGAGCCCCCTCCTCCAATACCTCATTTCCCCTTCCTTTACTTTCAAGCTGAGTATCTCCATTCTCCATTCAAACTGAGTCTCTCAACTCCTCTTACCTCATCTAGCTCCCGTTCCGCAGCAGCACCTCCTCCAACCTCCACCTCCACCACTGCCGCCATCTTCGCCGCTCCTCCCCCCAACTCTGCCCCCACGCAAGCCAGCTGCTTCCGCCGCTCAAGTGCTCCTAGCCAATCGTCGGCGCGGATTCCAGCAGAGGGGGCGGAGCATCAAGACAGGCGGAGACCTGTCAGGGACCTAGAGACCATGTACTTGCTACACGCTCCATGATTAAAGAAGGACGATTCCCGTGCGTTTCCAAGCTTCGGCGGGGAAGGGTCCTTGGAAAATGAGAAATGGGGCTTTTATTATTTTAGTGTAAATATTTCACCAATTCTCTCCTTTAGAAAGCCGAAAGGAAGAGTCCCTAAACGAGCAACTTTCGCGACGCTCCCTCACTTGAACTCCAAGAAGTGAAGCTTGTGAATTTAGAACAACATTTCCCATGCTGCATTGAATATGACCCGGAAGTTTAAATCGCGCTCTCGCCGGGAGAATTAAAGTGAGTGAAAATATTCATAAAAACACACGCACGTGATTCTTCTACGTGTAGTACCTGCTGTCTTGTCTCTATGGGAGTTATTTGTCAGAAGCGGATTATTTAGGCTCCGGAGACTCTGGTGCTTGGGGTCAGAAGGCGGAGGTCATAGGGCCGAATTGGCGGGAGAATGAGTTTGTGGTCTGAGAGCCTAGGAGGCGGTGACTCCTTGAAGTTCATGGTCACGGGTGAGGGGCGTTGAGGTTTGTTGATGGAGAGGAGAGTAGCTGAAAGGGAAGAAGGGTGCCACCAAAAAAGTGGACAGAGCAGTCCGTTACAGGATCTTCACCTTCAGAACAGCTGAGAGCTAAAGAGCCTCGCGGGACCTCCACGGCCACCAGCCTCTGCTTTTTACATAGGCTGTCATGCCACTTCACACATCTCGGTACTCTTTCCTACCCCAGACCTCCGCCTGTAGCTCCTACCTTTACCGCCCTTTTATGCACCTATTCACTGTGCTCCAGCTCCACTAATCCCTTCTTCTTTTTTTTTTTTAAATTGACAGTCTTCATTTTATTAAAAACGATCCATTTATTGGTTCCATGGATTCATGAATATTGCTTTGTCTGGACCACTAATCCCTTCTTAACTGATTTTAAACACCCTGTTCTTTGTACAGCCGAATTTGATACTTTGCAAACTGTGTAGCCCAAACTCAAGTAGCACTACGGCTGGATCTCTCAGGGGAACAGGACTAGAATGACTTGTGGGCCCAAAGAATGTTCTCACCCTCCCCAGTGGCTAAGATTACAGGCAACCGCCACTGTACCTGGCTCATATGAACTTTTTAAAGATTAAATAAATTAGCAAAGCAATGATAGTCATGTAAAACACATTCTCTAATGAGAGGAATAGTAGCAGATGCAGCAAGAAATGTAGAAATTTACATTGTAGATGTTTTGAGGGGCCAAATTCAATTGATATTTAAGTACCTACTATATAGCAAGGGATTCAAATACATCTGCAAGTTGTTGAATATTTATAGTATAGAAGTAACTTAATGAAAAGCTAATTTAAGATTCATTAAACAAAAGATCATGTCATGTATTTAGCTGCATTTATCTACCTTACTGTGTTTCATATGTGTGTGTGTAATGTCATATATATGACATGCTCTTGGGAGCTCACCTACATTTAAGTCCACATTAGCATATTAATAAATTATTTTGTACTTGTTCTTCAAGGGTAACGTGAGGATTATTGGTCTGCTGGAAGCTGATGAGAACAAAACTCAAGCCATGCCAAAGTGGTAATAGAAGAAATCTTGGGAAGAAACATTTTGCCTTGTACTTGAGATAACTAGTAGGCCTGTCATGGCTCCTGTGAAGATCAGCCATGTGGTATCATTTTCCTCTCAGGTATATTAATCAATAGGCCTGATTTTTTTTTTCTCCATGACCAAAAGGAGTGAATAAATGTACACTTGTCCATAGTTTAAGGGGAGTTAGTAAGGCCTCAGGCCCAGAATCTACACCAGAATCCTTAGAAGGGCAGTTTAGTAATGGTAACTGTCACTGGAGCAAGCCAGGACCTTGAAAGCCTTTGACCTATGAGGATATCATGACCACCATCAAGTATGATCTAAGCCTCCTCCCTAAAAGTTCTGTAATTCCCATGTAGAGCTAGATCTCGGGCCCTGGCCTAGAACTGATCCAATATGGAGAATGTTAGGCATTTCCCACTGTTTCCTCTGTTGTAATTGTTCTATCTATTTACTCCTTCTCTCTCCTTTCTGTTACCCTATTATTTCTCAAGGAGTGCCATGGACATTCTGGGGGATAAGTTTGTGCTTTCTAGCAATATCTTTTGTGTGGTAGAATATTTAGCATCCCTGAACCCCAGATCCTAATGACAATATTGCTTCCTAGTCATTATGGCAGTCAAAAAACATCCCCTCACTTTTCAGAAAGACATCCTTAGACCCTTAGATTATCTTTGGGAACTACTATATTAGCCCTTATTCTCAGTGGAAGAAAATAAAAATTACACTTACCCTCCTTACTTGCATGGTCAGCCTGACAGCTTTTTTTCATAGCCTTGCAAAAGACTAGGGAACATTAACTATCTTCTACCATTTCGGGTGTTCTTTTTTTTCCTTTTTATTACCCTCGTTGTGAGTTTTCGTTTAATTATTATTTTTTGGTGGTACTAGGGTTTGAATTCAGGGCCTTGAGCTTGCTAGGCAGGCGCTCTACCACTTGAGCCACTTCCCATTGTAGTTTTTAAACTGTGTTCTATGGGAATCCACTCCTAGAAGTTGAACGGAGGGGGCAGGACTTGGTGTTACACACCTAAAATCCCAGTACTCAAAAGGCAGGAGAATTACGAGTTCAAGACTAACCTAGACCATGTAATGAGACCCTGTCTCCAATAACTAATAATAATAATAAAGACAGGAAGGAAGGGAGACAAATATGTCTCTAGCACCCTCCCCAACCTGTGCTTTAACCAGAGGTCTGGTTTTATTTGATGAAAAAATACACACACGCTTCAGTGTAAGATTTCAGGTAAAAGGAAAGATTTCATTGCTGAAACAAACAAAAAAAAATGCTTAAAATTCATGAGTCTAGTGTTCTCCTTTACTTATAAAGAAATTTTTATCCAGAGAGAGGGAAGAGTTTGCTCAAGGACCCCCATCAAAAAGTACTCTCTTTGGAGTAGAATGTGTTAGAATTTAGAATTTCTCTCTCTTAATATTTTTTGGTGGTACTGGGATTTGAATGCAAGGCCTCACAGTTGCTAGGCAGGTGCTCTGCCACTTGAGTCACTCCGCCAGCCCCTAGAATTTCTATCTCAATATTTTTTTTGTTTTGTTTTTCAGTAGGACAGGGCTTTGAACTCAGGGCTGCAAAGCAGGCCCTTGATGGCTTAAGCCACATCTACAGTCCATTTTGTTGTGATTATTTTAGAGATGTGGTTTTGTGAACTGTTTGCCTGGGCTGTCCTCGAACCACGATCTGCCCAATCTCAGCCTCCTAAATAGCTAGGATTACAGGCACGACCTACCTCACCTGGCTTAATATTGCTATTATTGACTTTTGTTTCGTTTTGATTTTTTGGTTTATTTATTTATTTATAGGTGCATACATTGTTTGGGCCTTCTCTCCCCCTATTATTGACTTTGAATAATCATTTTATTTCTAAGCATCAGTTGCCTTTCTTCATGGTGGGACATGCCTGTAATCCCAGGTTCAGGATCTAAGGCAGGAGAATTATGAGTTCAAGGCCAACTGAGGGTACACAGTAAAATACTACCTCAAAAAAAATCTTTCCCTTCTTGTTCATGAGATTATTATGAAGACAAATAAATGTCTGTAAAAACATCTTATAAATAAAAAGCTATTAGTATTGTATGGTGGTGAAAGGCTCTGTTTTAGGGCCAGGAGTAGTGGTGTATACCTGTAATCCCATCTACTCAAGGAGCAGAGATCAGGAGGATTATGGTTTTAAACCAGCCCAGCAAAACAGTTAGCAAGACTCCCATGTCAACCAATAAATTGGGAGCGGTGGTGAGCATGTGTAATCACAGCTACACTGGAGACACAGGTAGAAAAATCGCATTACAAGGCCAGTGAGACTTTATCTGAAAGATAACTAAAGCAAAAAGGGCTGGGGCATGACTCAAGTGGGAGAGCACCTGCCTAGCAAGCACAGGGCCCTAAGTTCAAACACCACTACTGCCTAAATAAATAAATAAATATTAATGCTCTGGTTTCAGAAACCTGGAATTCTCCTTTGATTGGTTATTTAGCCTGAGACTTTGGATAAGTTTCTGAGCTTCTCTAAGCTTCAGTTTATTTATCTATTAACTAAGAAGTAATGATAACCTCCTCAAAGTCATCATGAGGATTAAATGAGGTAGTCTGGTAAGTGAGGTGGAGGTGAGTGGTATCTATAATCACTTGACACACAGTATCTGTTTTCCCATGTGTTCCCATCTGGCGCCTTTATATCACGTTAGGATGCCTCGAAGTGTTTGGGACTGTAGGAGTCCGTATTCATGGGCATCCTTTTTTCCCTTGGGCTCAGTCAGTTCCTGATTTTCTCCATTGCTGTCGCTTTAGGATCCCAAGTATCCTGTGGAGAACCTGCTGAACCCAGACAGTCAGAGGGGACCTTGGCTGAGCTGCCCTCAGGACAAGAGTGGGCAACTGAAAGTAGAACTACAGCTGGAGAGGACAGTGCCCATTAGCTATATCGATGTTGGTGAGTGGCCTCTCCAGGACTAGGAACTGCTGAGGGAAAACAGGAGTGACAGTCCCCTTGACCCACTCGACTCAGATGTCTCAGTTCATTGTAGCGGAGCCGCTTTCTAAAATAAGCCCTGTGTAGGTGTGAAGGAGAAATGTGACCTTTGCCCTCAGGCAGGTTTGATGATAGGAAGCTCCAACGTGTCTGTTCATGTAGAACAGAATGTGAATGACACTCCTTGAATTATGCAATGGACGTGCCTTGCTTTGATCCATGGTCTGGGTAAATCCTTAGGACATTGTCATAATTACAAATGCCAACAAATAGATTGGTATACACCTGTAAATATTAGTATCAAGAGGATGCTGGAATAATAAAGTGTACATAGGAGTTAACCTTAGAATTCTCTGGAATAAAGAACTGTGAAAGACCACAGGTCTCAGCTTTCCCAGCACAGAAAGATGTTGAGCTCCCCAGCACTGCCTTCAGGACAGGGAAGCAGCAAGTCTTCAATCTTGAGAAGTTTTCAGGTTGGAAGGACCTTAATGAACCTTGGCATTGTTGTCATTTAGTGGATTGGGGTCTCATCTCATTTCGGTTACTGGCTCCTTATGTTTCTCCACATGTTGCTGGACCTTCCTAGCTTCTAGCTAGCCTTAAAGTAGAAGAGTGTCATCTTCCCACCCAATCCCACAGTCATTCCATCGCCCTCATCTTCTGTCAACCTTTTCTTCCCAGGTAACTGTGGCTGTGCTTTCCTGCAAATTGATGTGGGCCGTTCTTCCTGGTCCCTGGACAGACCTTTTGTTACCCTGCTCCCTGCAACCATGCTTATGTCCCCCACTGATTCAAAACAGGGAAAGAACCGCTCAGGGGTCCGAATGTTTAAAGATGGTAAAGAGGTCAAAGCAGAAGGGGGGATGTTCCTGGGAAAAAGAGATGTAGTTTCTATAGGGAGCCATAGATCTGTTGGGGGAATAAGGTAGTTAGTAGGTGGTATGCCTGGGTGTGAGTTCTGTGTGATATTTATGAACTAAGACTTCACGTTAACTTATACCTGTGATTTGGTGGAGCCTGGTACAGAGCACGTACTTGTTGGTTTCTATATGGGGGGAGGGTTTGTTTTTGTTTTTCAAGACAGGGTTTCTATATGCTGCCCAGGCTGGCCTTGAACTGGCTATATAGCCTCAAATTTATGATCCTCCTTCCTTAGCCTTGCAAGTGGTAGACTTATAGGCATGTGCCACCACACTCAGCAATTGCTATGTTTTTGTTTGTATTAATGTGTATAAGTGTAAGTAGGAAAAATGTTTATTTAAGTAGGGCTGGAGGAGTGGCTCAAGTGGTAGAGTACTTGCCTAACAAAAGTGAGGCCCTGAATTCAAACCTCAGTACCACCAAAAAAATGTTTATATGAATGATAGACGGCTGTATGATGGTTATATTTGTGTAGTGTATTGTGTTTCCTGAATCCTGTTTATGCAAATCTCTATGTTCACTGGGCACTGAAAGAAAAACAGGTAAGATCTGATTTCAGGTCTTTGGGTATTTATAGTCTGGTAAGAATTTGTTTACATTGGTGCTTATAAAAGAAGAGTGATATTTAGAGGTACATACAAGTTAGAGGGCTTAAGGTATTGACTAGGTAGTGTTAGGAACAACCTCATCACCACCACCAAAGTAGAAACCAACATGTGTTCGTGTCAGGCTCCACCAAATCACAGGTATAGGTAAATAGAAATCATAGTGTTAGGAACCCTATCTAGTGTGAAAAGTTTGTGATATTGGTGTTTGTGTGGTTTGGTTTTGTTTGTTTAAGGCAGGATCTCACTATGCAGACCTGTAACTCACTATGTAACCCAGGCTGACCTGTAACTCACTATGTAACCCAGGCTTCCTCAGCCTCCCAACTGCTAGAACTACAGGCATAGGCCATCATGCCTGGCTGTGATACTGGTGTTTCACACTGAGAGTGAATGTGTAGAGCATATAGTAGTGTGAGACAGGTTGAGATCTCATGGTCTGGAAAGGGTTCATATCTCAGCTAACCCACTGGGCAAGTAATCTCCCTAGGCCCCAACACTTCAGATATTTGCTGTTAAAATGAAATATTGATAAGGTACTTGGGGAAAATGGAATGTACTCAAGCTGGGAACAGCGTGGAACCATGACAGAAGACTGATGGTCAGAAGACAAAAGGCTGGGCCCAAGAGGACCCCCACTAGTCTGTTTGGCATTACCATTCCTGAGCACCAAAGCTCAAGGGGGAAATTTACTGATGTTCTCTATTCTCCCTTCTATTGGCACTGATTCTCCAAAAGCCTCTGCCTTGCCTTTTCTTTCCTTTCTTCAGTATTGGCCTTTCTCCCTTCTTCCTTCCAATTAATGCATTTCCTTTTCCCCTCAAATCCCCCCACCACCTCGCTTTGTTTTTGGTGTGTGTGTTTGTGTGTGTGGTTTTTTTGGGCAATACTGGGGTTTGAACTCAGGGCCTTGTGCTTTCCAGGCAGGTGCTTTACTACCTGAGCCCCTCACCCAGGATTTTTGGGTTTTTTGAGGCAATGTCTCCTTATGTACCCTAGGCTGGCCTTGAACTTGCAGCTCTTCCACCTCAACCTCCTAAGTGCTGAGATTACAGGCATGTGCCACCATACCCAGATTTTTCTCTTTTTACCCTGAGGTGATTTCCTGGCTCCAGCTTCAGAAGAATCATGGGATCGACTTCGCCTGACTTGCTCCCAACCCTTCACACGTCATCAGTCCTTTGGCCTGGCCTTTCTGCGTGTGCGTTCCTCTCTGGACACCCTAGCTGATCCTGTGATGGGTCCCTCAGCCCCTGGAAGCTCTGGGCTGAGCCAGGTATGTCAATGGCGGAGCAAGGATTTAATATTTTCCCTCCCTTTCCTCCCTTTTCAAGTTTCTGGTTAGGAAGCTGGTGCTTGAATGAGGGATACACACACACACACATACATACACACAAATACATGCATCAGTGGCCTTGCTACTCTTTCTTATAGGTAGGAATAAATTCCTCTCTTCCCTCTTTCACACAGAAAAATGCAAGTAAGTGAGCCTTGAATATTATGTATAGAAAGCTGTTGGACCATTTGTTCTTTAACCATAATGACATTCTTTTTGGATTCCAGTTTCATGCTCATATATTATTTCTGGCTTCTTGGGAGCTGTCACTTTCCTTGACCTTCCCTCTGAGCACCTGAAAGCCCCAAGGCTCCCTTCAAGTCCCTCTGTTGTTTTTGTTTCCTGTCCCAAAGCCAATTACATCTTTAGGTATGTTCTGGGCTATCTCATTTTGTCCCACTGTGCGATGCACATGTACACCTCAGAGTAGATATATAAGTTCCTGGCCTTGAGTTTATGTTGATTTGCTTCTCCTTTTCTCAGCCAGTTTTCTGCTTACATTTGCATCTTAAGCCTATTCTGTTTCCTCCTTCTTTCTTGTCACCAGTATCTCCATTTCTCTTTCCAAGTTAATACCCTCCCCCACAATTCACAAATAAATGAATTGTAATCGATTATACAAAGATAAGAGTCATAGAATTTTAAAGATGAAAAAATACTAGAGATCATCTATCCCCAGCCACTTCATTTCACATCCAAGACGCAGAAATTTTTATATATTCCAAGTCATACAGTGAGTCAGAGCAGAGTGGGGACTAGAAATGAGGTCTCCTGTCATCACCCTAAAGTGCTTTCTGTGCACACAATCCATGTCTTGGAAGCTCCAAACATTTGGCAACCCAAAGAATTTCAGTTCACAGGAGTAAGTCTCACAAGTGTCACTCTTGTTGAGGTTACTGAGGAAAAGAAGAGACAACATCGGGAGAGAAAATGGAATTAAAGCAGACAGAGTAAGGATAGGTGCTTTTGTTATATAGCCTTAGGAGAGACCCAGAGTACTGAGACAAAGTAAAGCTTTGGTCAAGATTTGCTCTTCCACTGGGGAAAAGACTAAGACTATAAAAAGACTGGTGGAGACAGCTGAGTGTGCTCTACCAGCCTTTGACATTACAGTAAATGAAGCTAGATCTCTGTGATCCTGGACTTTGAATAAAATGGAAGCTTCATGAAATTAGGAATCTGTCTTGTTCCATAATGCATTCTTGGCACTTAGAACAGTACCTGGAACAAAGCAGGATTTTAGTGTATACCACCCACTGTTCAGAAGAGAGTTGTAGATAGAGTCATATACTTTCATCATCCAAACCAACACTTTGAGAATGCTACTAACATTTAATATTTAATATTAAAATTTACACTGAGACAATAGCCAAAAAAATCATAACTGTCTCAGGCAAGCCAGGACATATGGCCATCTTAGTTTTAGGATAAATAAGGGCTTCCCAGAATCTTTTCCATTTTGGCCATATTAACTATTCTGCACCTCTAGCACCATGACAGGATTGAGGAGGAAGGGAATTAGCAACTTCGGAGCCTGATGTAATATCAGCAAGGCATTGACCACCACCAGCAGAGTAAAATATGCATTCAGGTACCTCATGAAACCATAGAGAAGGGAGGTCCAGAAATGTTTCTATAAAACACAGATGATACACCATTGATGACACTCAATTTTCTAATTTAAGGTATCTGAAATTTCATAGGTTTTTTTTTCTTTAATGTGTCATTCTAATTGGTCTACAGTAAAAACTAAGGGATTTTTAACGTTGTGAATAGAGTTATTATGATCACCAATTTTCTAGGAAGGAAACAAGCACAGAGAAATTTAGTGGGGTGTCCCAGGTCATACTGCTAAGTAAGTCTTGAGGTGAATTTGAACCCAGGACACTTGACTCCACCTAGCTTATGTTCAGAAGCTCAGTTTCTAAATCTCATTTAGAGTTAAGGGTAAATAACTGTCTCTACACACCCATCGAGTCACCCTTTCTAGTAGTATTCACTCTGCAATTTGCATGGCAGGGCTGGAGAGGTAGCTCAGTGGTAGACTACTGGCCTAGCATGCATGAGGCCTTGGGTTCAATCCCCAGCACCAGAAATTAATTAAAATATTTCAAAATTAATGCTAGGTCCAATAAAAGAATTGTAATAACAATTAGAAAATATTAAACAGCAAGTGAGAATGAAAATACCACTTTTCAAGCTTTCAGAATGAGGCTGAAATCATGCTTTATAAGATATTTTACCTTTTTTTTTTTTTCTGGCAGTATTGGGGTTGAAATTCAGGGCCCTATGCTTAATAAGCAGGCACTCTATCACATGAGCCACTCCACTAGCCCTTTTTGTGTTGGATTTTTTCAAGATAGGGTCTTGTGAACTGTTTGCCTGGGCTGCCTCAAATCATGATCCTTCTGATCTCTGCCTCCTGAGTAGCTAGGATTACTGGCACCCAGCAAGATATCTACCTTTAAAAGAATCTGTAATAGAAGAGATCAGAGCTAAAAATTCAATTAAACATTTTATTTTTTTAATTTAAGGGGAAAAAAGGAAATTTTTTTTAAAAAGGAAATAGTAACAGATAAATTGAATTTTGACAAAGAATAAGAAAGTATAAGCCAAATGTGGTGGTGCACATATATAATCGGAGCATTCAGGAGATGTGACAGGAGGATCTAGAGTTTGAGGCCAGCGGCAAACACAATGGGACTGTGTCTTTAAAAAAAGAAGAAGAAGTAGAAGCTGTAGCATGCTACATGGGTAAAATTTCTATGTAGAAATGATCATATTGCCGGGCGCCAGTGGCTCATGCCTGTAATCCTAGCTACTCAGAAGGCAGAGATCAGGAGGATCACAGTTCAAAGCCAGCCCAGGCAAATAGTTCACAAGACCCTATCTCGAAAACCCATCTCAAAAAATTGGGCTGATGGAATGACTCAAGGTGAAGGCCCTGAGTTCAAGCCCCAGTACGCAAAAAAAAAAAGAAAAGAAAAAGAAATGATCCTATTAGCCAGTGGCTTATGCCTGTAATCCTAGCTACTCAGGAGGCAGAGATCAGGAAGATCTTGGTTTGAAGACAGCCCTGGGCAAATAAATCATGAGACCCTATCTCAAGAAAAAACCATCACGAAAAAGGGCTGGTGGAATGGCTAAAGGTGGAGCCCCTGAGTACAAACTCCAGTACCAAAAAAAAGAAAAGATCATATTACATCTATATATATACAATATACATGCATACATACATACATACATACACACACACATCCTTATACATGCTAGAAATGATGGCTAAAATTGGTAGGATTTTAGTTTTACATAAACAAAATTGTTCACAAAATAAATTCTACTGGAAATTAAATAATTTTCAGAAGGAATAATGATTTTATAAAGTCCCAAAATGGTTTAAAGTAAAACTGTTTACATATATAAAAAGATACAGAGCTGGGATATAGCTTAGTAATAAAACATTTGTTTACCATTGTAAGACCCTGGATTTGATCCCTAACAGTAGGGGGGAAAAATTGCTAATTCTTTGGGCTGGGAGTTAGAGCTCTTCCTAGCACATGTAAGGCCATGGGTTCAATCCCCAGCATCACCAAAAAATATATACATAGTATTTGTTTCTCATAAGGCATATAAAGAGAGATGGGTAATTTGAGTTTTGTACCTACACAAATCAATTTTATATGTATACAGACAAATAAATATATATTATATATATATATAGAGAGAGAGAGAGAGAGAGACAGGTATTTCAAAAGTTTGCGTGTAACAAACTCAGAAGTTTGCACATGACATCTGTCACCATAGCCCTGTTTTACCAATGACATGGATTGTTTTTTTTTAATCCTTGGGGCCTTTCAGGATCATGGCAAAACCCGTAGCATTTGAGACCTAAATATACAAAATCACAGAACCTCAGATCTTAGAGCTAGAGAGAACCGAAGAGTCTGCACACACCAGCAATATGTCATGTACAAGTTCCAACAGATTCACGAGTTAACTAAGTTCCTAGATGGCAGTGTCCCCTGTGGTGAACCTTGATATTCCATATTTCTCCATTTTCTTTTCCACAGTGCTCTTCAGATCCTCAGAAATCAGGCCCTACTCCCTGGCTAGCTAATCCTTCTATCCGGAGGACATTCTTCCCAGATCTCCAGCCGTAAGTAGCCCCTGCATAGAGATGTACCAGCCCCTACTCAGATCTTTGTCCTGGAAGAGAAAAGCTACCACATCACTCACGTCACTCACAAGCACATGGGGCCAGCCTGGGTTCCCCAATCAATCACATACTCTCAGCCTAACCCTATCTGTGTATCAAACTGACTTTCTTGGTTAGATGCCATTGACTTGGTTGAGCAGAATGGGTTTTGCGTTCCAAGTGAAACCAAATATTCTCTGTTTTTCTGCAGGAGCACCAAGGAAGTTTCAGAGCTCAAAGATATCCTAAAGCAGCTGCAACCAGGAGCTCTGGGACGTTCGGCCCGCATGGTGCTTTCTGCTGTGCACAGGGCCCCTCCAGTCAGTGTGGGAAGCCCGAAGAATAACCACACAGAACCAGGTCCCAGTCATACAGAGAGTACAGGTGAGGCCCCAAGAGCTGCTCCTTATTGTGCCTAGCAACGTCCTTCCTCCCTGAATTCACTACCACTGTCCAGGGTGGATTACAAAATTCACGTGGAAGAAAAGACAGTTGTTATTGAAGAGGAGAGATCAAATAGTATAAGTAACTGAAAGAGCACTGGCCTAGGAATCAGAAATCCTTACTCTTTGGACCTTAGTTCCCTCGTCTTTATAGTGAAGGGATTAAACCCAAGGCCTCTTATAGTATTCATGTTCTTTGATCATCTCAGAAAGACTGTAAAGTCAGAGTGATAGATACAAAGTTTACTGGAAAAATAAGGGAGGAGAGTAGTATGGTTTTAATCAAAAAAAAAGTACTAAAAGTCATTTTGGGAGCCAGACATAATGGTAGATGCCTATAATCCCAGAACTCCAGAGGATGAGTTCAAGACCAGCCTGGGCTACCTAGCAAGACCCTGTCTCAAAAAAAGAAAAAGAAAAGGAAAAGAGAAAGAAGGAAGGAGGGAGGGAGGAGGTTCTATTTTTCATCAGCTGTTGCTAGGCACTTTTACCAACTTTACCTGTTTAGTGTTCAGAACAAATTTATAAAATAGATATTGTTGTCCTCATTTTACAGTAGCGTCTGAGGTTCAGAGGGCTGGGGTTGCAGCTCAGTTGGTAAAGCACCTGTCTAACAAGCGTGAGGCCTTGAGTTCAAACCCCAGTACAACAAAAAAAAAATATGAGGTTAGATTTTCTAAGTCACACAGTTAATAAGTGGCAGAGCCAGGATTCAAACCCCAGATAGCAAGGGAAAAAAAAAAAATAAGGTTATTATTGAAAAGTTAAGAAAGCAAATGGTTCATTGTTCATTGGGAGAAATTTTAGGGCAGAAAGGTCTGTCTGTCATTTCAAAGGACTAAACCAATTAGTGAAATGCTGAGTATATCATTTAATTGTAAAAACAGAATATTGATTCTTTATGTTTGTGTAACAAATTACTTCAAAACTTCATGGCTTAAGGCAGTGTTTATTATCTCTCGGTGTATGGTGATTGGGAATCCATGCACAACTTATCTGGGTTCCCTGTCTCTGGCTCTGTCTCAGGCTGCAGTCATCTCAAGACACATCTGGAAAGGGTATGCTTCCAGCTCACTCACATGGCTGTTGGTGAAATTCAGTTCTGTTAGGCTGAGGCTTCCTTTAGTGCCTTTGCCATCATGGCCTCTCCACAGAGCATCTCATGGTATGGCAGCTTCTTTCATCAATGAGCAGACAAAAACAAGAGGGGAAGGAAAGAACGAGACAGAGAGACAGCAAGATAGAAGTCAAAGCCTTTTTTTTTTTTTTTTTTTTTCAGTTCCTGGGTTTGAACTCAGGACCTATACCTTGAGCCACTCCACAAGCCCTTTTTTGTGATGGGTATTTTCGAGATAGGGTCTCGTGAACTATTTGCTCAGGCTGGCTTTGAACTCTGATCCTCCTGATCTGTGCCTCCTGAATAGCTAGGATTACAGGCGTGAGCCACCGGTGCAGGGCTAAGTCAGTAGAGCCTTTTATAACTCACTCACAGACTTGCTATCTCATCACTGCCTTGTACCCTTCATTAGAAGCAAGTTACTGGGTCTAGTCTACCCTAAGAAAGCCTGAATACCAGGAGACATCAGTCAACAGGAGTCATTTCTGAAGGTGTCTAACCCATAATGAAAGATATTTATTATGTTAAGAGAGGGAGGGAAGGGTACGAACCATTTTGGGGCATCTACTATAGGTTGGGTACTGGAGCTGTGAAAGCACTTCAAAATACATTAAATGCTATACAAAGTGTTTTGTAAATTCTGAATAACTAGACAAATGGTAGCTGTTGGTTTTTTTGTTATCACTCATTTGACAGATATTTATTAAACATCTCATATGTGCCAGGCATATTACAATAATAGCCATGCTCCTGCAATGAAGAGACACATTCCCATAGAGAAATCTAAAACTAAAACTGTGATAAGTACTTTGAAGGGAAGCATAATAGGATGACAAAATTCAGATTAGAGAATCCAGGGAAAGGGCCTCCTAGGAATTAGCAGGTCATCAAAGACTTGAGTGAGAAAGAATCGCCCAAGCAGAGAGGTTAGAAAGAGTATTCTTAAAAGAAGGAGCAGAATATGTAAAGGCTTTTGTTAATGTGGTAGATTTAATGAGTATTTCTAATGCAGAGCCCAGAGCAGAGGTTCAAAACTCAGAGAATGATGTGGGCCGGGTGAAGAAACAGAAAGTGCAGGACCGAAGGTAAGTAGGTCAGCGGGAAAGACTCAGATCACCTCCCCGAACCTGACTATCCTCCTGCAGCTGTCCTTCTTCCTTACTCTAGTTAGATCAAAGAGTACCCTTGTGTCTGGGTCTTAGTCTCATAGTCCAGAACTAAAGATAGTGGAGAAACATGTCCTTGTTGACAGGTCATCAGGCTTGGAGATAGGCAAGGAGGCAACCCAGTGGTGAGCCAGAATCTGAAGATAAATACACTGTGTCTCATCAAAACTTAAATCTTGGGCTGGAGGAGTGACTCAAATGGTAGAGAGTGCCTGCCTAGCAAGCATGAGGCTCTGAGTTCAAACCCCAGTACTGCCAAGAAAAAAAAATCCTTAAATCTTGTGGCACATGCCTGTAATCCCAACACTCAGGAGGCTGAGGCAGGAGGATCATGAGTTCAAGACTAGCCTATGCTACATAGCAAGAACCTGTCTCAAAAATATTTTTTTTAATCTTTTCTGCTTCAACAAACACGGTCAAGAAAGTAAAAATACAACTTACAGACTATGGGGGAAAATATTTGCATGTCATGTATTTGATAAAGTACTTGTATCTAGAATACACGAGGGATTGCTTCTTAATACATAAGGAGCCCTGTCAAGTCAACAATTAAAAAAAATAAATCTGAATAGTCTTTTCTCCAAAGAAGATATGCATATAATCATACAAAAAGGTGTCCAACATCATAAGCACCAGAGAGATGTGCATCCAAACCATAGTGACCACTTCATACCCACTAGTTACTGTCATTAAAAAGATAAACAATAATGAGTGTTGTTGAAGATACAGCGAAATTGGAACTCAGATTCATTGCCAGTGGGAATGTAAAGTAGTGCAGCTGCTTTGGAAAAAAGTTTTGCAATTCTTCAAAAACCTGGAGTTACCATATAACCCAGTAATTTTATGCTTAGTATATACTGTAAGTGTTCACAGAAAAACTTTTAGACAGTGTTCCTAATAGCAATATTCATAATAACCAAAACGTGGAAAGAACCCAAATGTCTATCAACTTATGAATGAATAAACAAAATATGGTGTTTCTACATGGTAGAATATTGTTTAGCCATAAAAAAGAAATGTAGTACTGATCCCCCCTATAATAGATGAACTTTGAAAGCATGCTGAGTGAAAGAAGTCAATTACAAAAGCCCACAGTTTATAGGATTCCACTTATATGGAATGTCCAGGATAGACAAATCCATAGAGACAGAAAGTAGATTAGTGGCTGGGCATGGTGGCACATGTCTATAATCCTAGCACTCAGGAGGCATAAGCAGCAGGATCACAAGTTCAAGGCCAGCCTAGTCTACATAGCCTCAAAAAAAAAAAAACTAAGTGGGGATAGAGGAATGAGATTTATTTTGGGGATATTCTGGAGGGCTGGAGGCATAGCTCAAGTGATAGAATGCCTGCCTAGCAAGCGCAAGGCCCTGAGTTCAAACCCAAGAACTGCCACAAAGAAAACATTCTAGAATTAGATAGTTGTGGTTACTTAACCCATGAATATACCTAATTCATATTTGGAAAGATATATGCAGAATATCTCAAAAGAAGAGTGATTAAAACTCTGAAAACAATGATAGAAGCTCTGTTCTCAGATGTTCAAGAGTCAATGACTTCCTTCAAGTCTGGCATGTCAAATAGGAAAACAGGACTGCAACCCAAGGTTACTATTTCCACATCAACTATTCTACATTTTTTTGGGGGAGAGGTTTTTTTTTTTTTTTGTCTTTTCTTTTTTGGTGCTGGGATCGAACCCAGGGCCTCACGCATGCTAGGCAAGCGCTGTACCACCGAGCTACATCCCAGCCCTATTCTACATTTTTTTTGTCCTGATTCTATGCTCCCTCAGCCCTGTGATCACTCACAGATAGCTGGCCTTTAACTGCTCTTTCTCACAGGCCTCTGTCCAACACCAACTCTCAGCGAAACAGGAGAGGGGCAGCAGGTTCGAGGCAAAGGGAACGCCGACCCCCGGCCCAAAACAATGAAATCCAGGAACATGGGCAGTGCCCCATTTGTGCAGGTAGGCTACTTCAGCCTGGAGTGGGGGTGGGCTGATTACTAGGCATTCCTCCAGTGAGAAATAGCATTTGTGGGGATGCTGGCAAGAAAGATTTGGCTTGAACTCCTACCTCCCACCCCGTCATCTCTGCGCCTCCAACATGTGCAATTGCACTTTTACTCAAATATAACTCATGACAAATCTACATTCAGTACCTGCTCACATGGTGTCAGTTAAGCTGGGGAAGGGACCCAGGCCCTGCCCTCAGGAAACCCAACAATAAAAAAATCACTGTTGGAGAGGTCCTAGAATCTCCCTCAGAACATTTTCCTCCATGTCCAAATTCTGCTTCTCCTTTAAGTCTCGGTTCAAATGATTTTTTTTTGCCAAGCCTTCTCTGATCTTCCCAGGTATTGTCTCCCAAAATAGCTCCTGCAGCATCTTCAGATTCCCTTGGACCAAGCACTTCTCACCTTGTGCTTTGTCAGGATCCTTATGCTCGTGGCTGACCATGACCAACAGGCTCTACATTCCGCAGAGCACTCCATAGCCCTCAGCTCCCAGCATCCTGCCAGGCATGTAATAAATACTCAGAATGTTTGACAGACACGCGACAGTGTCTCAAGTACAAAATATTTAGCATGGTAAATCTCCTACGAGAGCAGCTGCATTTTAGTAGCAGATACGCCTTTCAGACTTGTTGGGCTGGCATCCCGCCAGAGGACAGGCCCAATTCTGTTTACCTTCTTCTCTCCCTCCTTAGGCTCCTTCAGCGCTGAGATTCTTCCCCTGCACGCTGCCACTTGTGGAGACCCCTCCCCGCCTCACCCAGCTTCCCACTCCTCCTCAGCATCTTCATCCCCATCTGTTCTGTGGGTGTCCTCCCCAGAGAGTTCGCCACCCATTTCCTGGGTCCAGTGCCCTATCTGCCAGTTGCAATTCTCAGCAAGAGAAGTAGAAGAACATGCCAGCATGTGTGGGGAGGTTTTCCAGTTGTGAGCCATGACGTCCTATGACGTCGGCCCCACCCTCTATGACAAAGACTGAGGAGCAGGTCTCTTCGTGACTGAGAAGGGCTAATGATGCCAACACTCCTTCCTCCCTCATTCCCCCAGGACTATTCCTGCCTGAGGGCACCTGAGGGCACTGCTTGCTCCCCAGTCCCAGTTGCCAAGGCTCTGTCACCATGGAACCCAGTTCTCCTAAGGAAAGCTCTATCCTTTTCCCCCGAGAACTTCTAGGGTAGAAATGATGATCTCTCTAGGGCCTTGGGACACTATCCAGAGCACCTTTCCCTTGGTGAATGGTGCTCATTCTCGTGCCCACTTTCCTAAAAGGAAAACTAAGGCCCTGGCACAAAAACAAACAAACAAAACCCTATTGCCTAACAGATATGATCCTACAATGTTCTTGGAAGAGTGAGTTTTGAGCATTAGACTGACACCTAGCATCCCATGAACTTAACTTTCAGTATCCCTTGTGGGTTGCAGTCCTAGGTATAATCAGGTAATAGTGCTGTCATGTGACTTCATCAAGTTAGATATATCAGGCCCAGAATTAATGTTCTGTGATTGAGATAAAAATCCCTTATCCTCCTGTACACGCAGATGTTATAGGACCATACAGGTTAATGACTAAGAAATGGTTCTAGGCTTGGCTGTGGGACCTTGAGTATATTCCACTCCCCATCTGAGTGAGGTGGTTGGACCAGAGTCTCTAAAGTCCCCTGGAGCTATGATATTCCAAATCCTGTTCCCACCTTCTATAAGCAGCTATATACTTTCCCCCTTTCCCAGAAGATTTCATTGTGTGGCACTAATGCCAGCTCCCCTGCTCCCCCAGGTATAGGGCAGGTGGGAGCAGCTGGTCCTGACAAAGGGAGGGCCCAGGGCGGGGTTCTGAGTGGGTAGGATAAAGGATTCTGGGTACAGTCAGGCAGCAGACATAGCAGGAGTTTAAGCCTTTGGTCCCTGCCTGTAGAGGTGGCTGCAGCCATGGACCCTCTCACGGTAAGAAGCTCTCTGCTCCCTTCCCCTGTCCTTATCCTATTTCTAGCTGTGAACAAAACAATAGATTGGCCGAAGGGAGTGGCAGGGACACCCTAGCTGCCTAGCAAGTGGTGGACACCACTGTGTGGATGGAAGAGCCCTGGAGTGCTGGGTCTGGCAGAAGAGAAGGACAAAGCAATGCCAAGGGGGAGACATGCCTTCTAAGCGGTAGAGAGCAAAGCTGGGGGTGGGGGGGGGGTTGGTAGAGGAGGAGCATGTTGAACTGTCCAAAGCTGGGGGGCTGGGAAAAGACTACTTCAAAGACCTGGACATGCCTATACATGTCTGGACCTGCCCTGCAGAGAATCTGGGATCTTCAGAGGGATGTGCAGCTGGAAGATGAAGTCAACAAGATGGGAGCCAGATCCTATGTGCCTGCATGTGGTGTTGGGCTCCAAGTACAGCCCTGCCCCCCTGTTTTAAACCCCTCTTTCTCAGGGTACCCACATTTGTCTCCACTGTGGAGGGGTTCCTATGACAGTGGAAGTTGAGCTGAGGAAGGGATCTCCTCAGACCCAGTTGGGCACCTTCCTAATGAGAATTTGTACAATAAAATGATGAACAAGATAATTTTTGCCAGTATGTGTTTGGAACAAGGAAGAGTAGAGTGGTGGCTGGGCATAGAGGGTTCAGGGCTAGAAGGTGGAAAGGTGAAGGAGGCCCCAAAACAAAGCAGGTTGTAAACTTGGGGTCCTGCCCGCTCCCCTTCATCCAGCCACAGCCCAACTGGACAGAGATTGTGAACAAAAAGCTCAAGTTCCCTCCTCAACTCCTGGGAGCCATCCAGGAGGGGCGGCTGGGTCTTGTGCAGCAGCTACTGGAGTCAGGGGTCGAGGCCACAGGCGGTGGACCAGGTGGACCCCTGCGGAATGTGGAAGAGGCTGAGGACCGCTCCTGGAGGGAAGCTCTCAACCTTGCCATCCGCCTGGGCCACGAGGCTATCACTGATGTGCTGCTGGCCAATATCAAGTTTGACTTCCGGCAGATCCATGAAGCTCTGCTAGTGGCAGTGGACACAAACCAGCCAGCAGTGGTGCGGCGCCTGCTGGCCCGACTGGAACGGGAGAAGGGTCGTAAGGTAGACACTAGGTCTTTCTCACTAGCTTTCTTTGACTCATCAATCGATGGCTCTCGCTTTGCCCCTGGTGTCACTCCACTCACCTTGGCCTGCCAGAAGGACCTGTATGAGATCGCACAGCTGCTCATGGACCAGGGCCACACCATTGCCCGGCCTCACCCAGTCTCCTGTGCCTGTCTGGAATGCAGCAATGCCCGCCGCTATGACCTGCTCAAGTTCTCCCTGTCACGCATCAACACGTACCGTGGCATTGCCAGCAGGGCCCACCTCTCACTGGCCAGTGAGGATGCTATGCTGGCTGCCTTCCGGCTCAGCCGTGAGCTCAGGCGACTGGCGCGCAAGGAGCCTGAGTTTAAGGTCGGTTTCTCCCACTTCTGCCTTCGGGGCCTTGTGTCTGTTCTTCTGCTGAAGGGATTTCAGTCTAATGGCAGGAGAGTTAGTCACTCTAGGGGCACCTTGTCTTATGCAGGAGGCATAGCCCCTACCCTGGGGGTGCCCTGGGTCTATCTGGGGGAGGAGAGAGAGCATAAATAGAAGAACAGCTGGACAGACTTAGATCTGACATTCAGCAGAATGTGTCTCTTTGAAGTACCGACTGTGTGTTCCTGCATGAAGCATTGTGTGTTGGAACCCTCAACCTTGTGACAAAGGGCAAGGAGCAAGGGACAAGTCACTCCCAGGACTTCATTTACTACTTCTGTGCATGGTGTTCACAAGCCTCCAAAGTCCAAAAAGCAAAGTCAAGTTCCCACAACTCTTGTGTTTAGGGAAGACTCCTTGGAAGAGGCAGCATTAAGCATAGCTGCAGAAGTGAGTAGTTTAATAGAAGTGAAGAGCAGGGAGGGCATTTGAAGAAGGACTGTAATCCCAATAAAGGCCGTCAGTTATCAAGAGGCTATGTGGGGATAAGTGCAGGGGAATCCCAGTGCAGAACTAGAATGCAGGAGCCTGAAGGCAGGACCTGGACAGGAGCCTTGAATTGCACAATCCAGTTCATCCATCACTTAGACATTGGCTTCCCCTGTGTGCCAAGCCAGGCTTGGTCCTCATCCACAATATTGTCATTAGGCAGGAAAACTTACAAGGATAATAGAAGGAAGGCCAAAGGCAAAATGCAAGCCAGGGAAGGAACAGGCTGCTGCCTCTCCCCCTACCCTCCTCCCTCCATCCCAGAGTTGTAGAAGGACAGGAGGATGAAAAGTTTCCCTGCACAGCAGAGGAAAGGGCAATCCTTCCCAAAAAGCTTTCCCTGCATTCTTGTGCCAGCACACAAAGAAAGAGAAGGAGGCAGGGCAGGAATTCTCATTCCCACTTACAGACAGGGAGACTGAGGCCTAGAAAGGGGAAGCACTGCCAAGCATGGTGGTTTATACCTATAATCCCAGAACTCTGGGGGAGGCTGAGGCAGAAGGATTTAGAGTTCGAGGCCAGTCTGGACTACAAAGTAAGACCCTGGGAAGGGAGGAAGGGAAAAATGGAGAGAAAGAAGGAAGGGAGGGAGGAAGGAAGGACCCCAAGTAAAACAGAGGATAAGATGGGTGGGGTATAACCAAGAACTGCCTTACTCTCTGCATCTCCTAAAACTGCCAACAGAGGTTCATATAAGGCAGATGCTTAAAAAAAAAAAAAAAGAGAGAATGAAATGAGCACATGAAAGGTATAGGAGTAGGAGCTGTAGTGGGACAGGAAACAGGAATTAGAAAACCGAAATTCAAGAACAGGCAAAGGTGACAGAGAGTTTGAGTTGAAGCGATGTGGTAGATATGGCACAGATAAGCAAAAGTGACACAGAAGGTACCTTATTGTAGCAAGAAAGATTGATGAGGTAGCAGAGAAAAAAGAAATCCATGATACCAGGTACAGAAAGTAATGGCTTGAGGGCAATACAGAGATGGCCCAAGGGAAGAGGGTGGGGAGCGAGAGGTTTCTTTAACCAGCTGAGTCCACTGGGTGACTGGCACACCCTCCTCCTTTCCTATACAGCCTGAGTATATTGCCCTGGAGTCCTTGAGCCAGGACTACGGCTTTGAGCTGCTGGGCATGTGCCGGAACCAGAGTGAGGTCACTGCAGTGCTCAATGACCTGGAAGAGGACAGTGAAACAGAGCCTGAGGCTGAGGGCCTGGCCCAGGCCTTTGAGGAGGGCATCCCCAACCTGGCGAGGCTGCGGCTTGCAGTCAACTACAACCAGAAGCGGGTCAGCTGGGCCCTCCCTGCCTCCCCATCTCTGCCCTGATCCCTTGCCCTGGCATCTCTAAGTAACTCCTTTCCTGCCCTCAGGACTCTGAGACTTTTCTTCTGAAGACTCTTCTTTCTAGGCCCATGAGTACAAGAAGGAACCCCACCCCAAGTTATTACCTTCAATCTCAGCCCCTAATTCCTCTTTAGCTCTTAGAAGACTCATTACTCACCAGGATCCCACTTTCAGACTAGGATGTGTAGATCTCACACAGACTCAGTTTTGCCTCTGGCCTGCTGAGTAGCTTGGGCCCAAGTGTTCTATTATTAGACTTCAGTTTCTCACTCTGTACAGCAAGATTAGACTAGATCTCTCAGGAATTAAGTATCAAGTGATTACTTTTTTCTCTGTCTCATTAGATACCCTCCCCTCAAGCTAAAGACTTGCTCCCTTTCCAAACTCACCCAACCCCTCACTCTCAACTCTCATTTATCCTCGGATATCCTGACCCACCAGAAGCTTAACCCAAACTTTTCTGTGTAGTGGCTCCCTTTGTCCTCCCCCTCAGGACAGCACCAACTTTACCTGCTTCTTCCCTTCTTGAGAACATTCAGACTGTTTTTGCCCCACATCCCTAAGAAGGCAGGAAACCCTGGGGGTTCTGGGACTTGTACACCAATTCTACCTGCCACTGCCTGACTTAGATTCAAGAATGTAGGATCCGGAGAGTCCAGCAAAACCTTCAAATTCAGCTACCTCCTTCACAGGCAAGGCCTACAGAGAGCTAGGGCTGCCCATGGTCATATGGCAAGTAAGTCTCCTCTTCTGGGCTGGTGGGGGGAGAAAACAAAGATGGCACTAAGCATGATGGTACATGCCTATAATCCCATCATTCGGGAGGCTGAGGCAGGAGGATCATGAGTTTGAGGCCAGCCTGGGCTATATGGTGAGACACTATAAAGGATGGCTCAATCTCTGAGGCAGCAAGTCAGGGCTCGGTACCCAACTAGCTCCTTCCTCCTCCCTGTCTGGTGGCCACCCCACTTCATACCTCATCTCTGCTTAGTTTGTAGCACACCCCATCTGCCAACAAGTCCTTTCCTCCATCTGGTGTGGGAACCTGGCTGGCTGGCGTGGAAGCACCATCATCTGGAAGCTTTTTGTTGCCTTCCTCATCTTCCTCACCATGCCCCTCCTCTGTATTGGCTACTGGCTGGCACCCAAGTCCCAGGTACTAGAAATAAGATTAATGACAACTCATTTGTAGAGTACTTGGTTCATGCCAGGCCCTGGGCTGCATGCTCTGTCAACGCTCCCATTCAGTAGCTTGAGGTAACTTGGGAAAGTTGGCATTACACTTATGGAGGAAGAACCTCAGTCCCAGGCAATGCAAGTCTCTTCCCACCCCTTTTTTTTTTTTCCTGGTGGTCCTGGGGTTTGAACTCAGGACCTCATGTTTGTTAGATAGGCACTCTACCACTTGAGTCATACCTCTAACCTGAAGTCTATTTTAGTCCAGACTACCCATCAAATAGCAGTCAGGATTTAAACTGAGGACTTTCTCCCTCCAAAGATTGAAGCCCTTATGCAGCCCTACATTCTCCTAAGGCAGTCCCATCCCAACCGAATATTTTCTTGAGACCCTGCTCCAAGCAAAGCATTATGCCTGGGATACAATGAAGTGCAAGACCTGTACTGTTAGCCAGGTGAAGAACAGAGAGAGGAGTGTCCAGGAAGCAGGAATGGCACAGGAGAAGGCCCAGGGGAGGGAGAATGTGCAGCATCAGGGAAACTGGAGGGAACTCTGTGAAGGTGAACTGGGGACAGAAGTTACGAAGACTGTCAGAGTGTGTACAAGAGAAAGCATGTAGACATGCTGCTCAGATCCCTGACTGGGTGACCAATTCATTTCATGAGGAAGGAGAAGCAAGTGTAAGGATAAAAATGATGAATTTGCCTTTAAACTTGGTTGAGTTTGAAGAGCCTGTGGGACCCCACGGGAAAATTACTTTACTTCTCTGCTCTCAGTTCCTGAAAAAAATGGGAATACTAATACCTACTTCATGTAGTTGTGAAGGAGACAACATATGTGGAAGTATAGGGCCCAATGTATAGGACTGGATAAGTGGGTAAACTGAGAAAAGCAGTGTGGGCTGAGCGGTCCAGTGGGCCTGCCAGCAGGGGAGACAACAAGACTTCCACTTCCCCCCAAAGCTGGGCCACCTGCTGAAGATCCCTGTGCTGAAGTTCCTGCTACACTCTGCTTCTTACCTATGGTTCCTCATTTTCCTGCTGGGAGAGTCCCTGGCCATGGAGACACAGCTGAGCACTTTCCAAGGCCGCAGCCAGAGTGTCTGGGAGACTTCACTACACATGATTTGGGTTGCAGGTACACGTGTGGCATGGGGGAATGCCCCTTCACTGTCCTCTGTGAGGAGACCCAATACTTCTGTAGATGCCCCTGAACATGTAACCAGACCCCTCTGGGCTCTAGCACACCAGGAGACCATTTCACTTCCCCCCAATCAGGGTTCCTAGCCCTGTGGCAGACTCCCTGAGCTAGGACCCTTCTCCTCCTCTCCCTGGCACCATTCACTACCCACTCTGGAGGCTCCTATCCTCCAGAATAAAACATCCACCCACAGCATCAGGCTCCAACTTACCTTGGTGTAGTGGTAGCGTACAAGTACACTACCAGACAAGTTCTCCCAGAGGTGTGGAACAGAAAGGTTCACAGACTAACTCATATCATTTATTAATCCATCATGCCATAGTTATGATGCTCATGAGATCTGAGCAGTGGGTGGCAATGGATAGTGCAATGGACCACCACTTGGCCTGTGGGAGCACCACTGGTATGTGTGAACACAACTCTAGCTTGCCTGTTATCCCAGCGAGCAGTCAGGAATTTTATGTGCGTTTTGGGCAGATGACATGTGGAGCTGGCATGGGTGTCACCAGTAGGTAGCTGATTACACCCAGGGCCTCATATGTCTCTACCCTGCGTTTGGTTTTCTGGTTTTGGTGGGCCTGGGGTTTGAACTCAGGGCTTCACACTTGAAAAGCAGGAGCTATACCTCCTGAGCCACACCTCCAGTACCCTCATATGCCTCTGGATATTCAGTGCATCATGAGTATTGGTGTCTCTCTGTGCCTCTCTGTATATGTTCACATACATACGCTCTACTTAGTATGTTTGATGTCACCCAGATCACTAACTCATCTACACTTAATGCATGTTTCACCTGTTCCATCTATTTTCTTCCCTTCTATAGTAGAATCAAGTTTTCTCAGGCAATTCAGCAAATACAGTTTACAAGAATCCCCAGAGCTCTACCCAGCCTGAGGCTGGTCAGCTCAGTAGGCTGGATCCCTTCCTTGTCTGAGCTCAGCTCAGCTGGCCTCCTCTCACTTAGCTCTAGCTTAGTTAGCAAACTCGCAAGCCACCGGTATACCAAGTCTACTATTCCACCCTGTATCAAGCTGTCAGTGAAGGCCAAAAGGAAATTTGAATAAGAAACTTTAGGGAAAGAAACAAAAATAGCCTAAGAGGGAAAGTTTCTCATCCTGTTATTTACTATTTATTGACCTGCACTGGGTGGAGATGAAACCAATACAGTTCTTCTCCTGCCTGTGGGAAAAGAAGGCCTTATAAATAAACACATAGAGAAAAATTCATTTATTCAGGCAATGTTTGCTGATACCCTGATGTAAATGAAACCCCGAGCGTGCATAGGCGAGTATAGTTCCATCCATCCTTTGAACACACATCCACTGAAGCATCCACCCATTCCCACAAGGTATTCTTGTCATACAGCACAGGTCAGTTCCTGACCACATCAGACTCAGTGGTCTCCAGGCCTTTGCTCATTCACTTTTCCTAGAGCCCTTGCCCCTTCCCACCTGGAGTGCTTCTACTCCGTTTTCATATCTCAGTTTAAATTCCATTTTCTTTGAGAAGGTTTCCCTGGCTCCCAAATCAAGGTAAACATTTATTCCTGAACACCTTGTAACAACCCCTCTGGTGTCCCCCCCACAATCTAGCACTTACCACATGGTGTTGTGTCTGCTTGGTCACTTGCTTATCTCCCTCACTAGTTTATAAGTTTAGGAGGATAACAACTCTGTTTTAGTCACCACAGGGTCCTACAAATACTCATTTAATTTGTTCTGGGCACTAGGGACAAAGATGTGAATTAGATATGGTCCCTATCCTTGAGGCACGTCAAGTTCAGGTAGCTGTAGGGGAAGGGAATAGATCCATAGAGAGATATACTGCAGAGTTCCATATCTCTGCTCATATCACAGAGATATGAGCAGAGAATGGTGAAAACAGAGCAGGGAGCAACTTGCTCCACTGTGATTGGAGGCTTCACAGTGGTGGTGTTTGCCCTGGCCCTAAATGGTGAGTCCAGCTTCCAAAGGTTGTGGAAGGGCTCTAGACAGGGGAAATGGTGAGTGAGCATGCAGAAAATGGGGAATAGAAACACAGGTGGCAAGATCACCTGATTAATGGGAACCAGCTCTCAAGACCCCCATCCCTAGGTCTGGCACTGGGCCCCAGTGAGACACAGACACGCTAAAGAGCTGATAATTCCAAGCCCTTTCAAACAAAGGGACTTTAATTCTTTGCACAATATTTATGTGGTGGAGAGCAGGGAGAATGGACGTAAATTATTCCCTGGTGACACAGCCTGTCCCACATACCCACTTTCTTGAGTGTCAGCCACCTGTGATCCTTAGTGCAGGTCACCTCAAAACTGAGATGAGTCTGCACCAATGCAGGGGTCCTTATTTTCACATAAGATCACTTTGTGCCTGAATAGATTAAGTGATGTTTTAGCTACCCAATCCCAGCAGAGGGTCCCCACCACCATAATCTGGCTCTGATCTACAAGAGTTCCTCCCCTTTCTTTCCTGGCCCTGGTACCGCTTCAGGATTCCTGTGGTTTGAGTGTAAGGAAGTGTGGATCGAGGGCCTGCACAGCTACCTCCTGGACTGGTGGAATTTCCTAGATGTGGTCATCCTGTCCCTGTATCTGGCAGCCTTCACACTGCGCATCCTCCTGGCTGGGCTTGCCTACATGCACTGCCGGGATGCCTCTGATGGTGCCACCTGTCGCTATTTCACCACAGCTGGTGAGTGTGCCCCAGCTCAGCCCTGAATCTCCCAGTCCCATCTCTTCCTTGGCCCTCAGCCACTGCTCCCATCCCACCCTGCACAGAGCGAAAGGAGTGGCGCACAGAGGATCCCCAGTTCCTGGCCGAGGTGCTCTTTGCTATTACCAGCATGCTCAGCTTTACCCGTCTGGCCTACATTCTGCCAGCCCACGAGTCACTGGGCACTCTGCAGATCTCCATTGGCAGGATGATTGATGACATGATCCGGTATGTACTGTCCCAGCTCAGAGCACCCTCCTTTTTTTTTTTTTTCATTTTTACACCCTTCTTTCTGATGGACTCCACTTGACCTCCTTCTGAAATTCTTTGGTGTAGCACAGGAGTTCTTGACCTGCATTACTCCAGGGGCATAAGCTCCAGAGACTTCTAAACCCTGGGAACTACTGGCAGAATTTGTAAACTCGTATTGCTCTGCAGGGAGGGTCCCTAACTTTCACCTAATTCTCAAAGAGGCCATGACCCCAGAAAAGATTACAAACCACTGATAGCAGAAAGTCCTGTTGGTTATCACTCTGGTCCCAATTCTGTCACTATCTCTGTGACCCCTCTCTGGGCCTGAGTTTCCTCCTCTTTTTGAAAGACTAAATCATATACAGCCAAACCTAGCCTCTCACCCTAATCAGAGTCCATAGTTAATGCCTGCCCTCCTCCCCACCCCCCAGGAATCCTCTGCCTGAGAGCCAATGCCATTGATGAGAAAAGTGCTAGTTACATTCAGCTTAGCCCGGAGCTCAGGATTCTCCCAGTCTTCCCTGTGGCAGGCTAACTCATTCCTACATGTGCCTCTGACTCCTAGCCATCCTATGTGATCTCAGCATCTTCATCTCTGAGACTGGTCCCCCAGCTTTGACTGCCTAGAGTCAGTCCCCATTATTCTTAACGGAGAGCTTCTGCTCTGGTACTCACTTTAAATTCCTTCTCATTTCCGTCTCTTAACTTCTTCACTCTCATTTGTTAAGTAGAGAACTAGGTAGACCATCACTCCCATCCTTCTCAGAGCCTGACTTCCCCTAGAGCAGAGACATGCTGTGACCCTTCTAGGTTCTTGTTCATCCTCACGATCATCCTGATGGCTTTCCTCTGTGGCCTCAACAACGTCTACGTGCCTTACCAGGAGACAGAGCGACTGGGCAAGTAGGCTCGGGCAGAGGCGGGAGGGGCAAGAGGGGAGTCTGGGACCTTGCAGCTTGATTACCTCTTTCTCCTTCCCTCATTTCTTCACTCACTTCCCTTATTTCTTCATTTCCCTCCTTGATTCACTCTATCACTCATTCATTTGGTCACTTATTTCCTCCTCGAACTTTTTATTTTGAAAGATGTCAATCCTATTAAAAAATTAAAAGAAAAGTACATTGAATACCATATACCTTTACCTAGCTTCACCAGTTGTCACTGATTTGCCACATTTGCTCAATCTATTGTTCTCTTTGTTCTTTTTTTTTTTCCTGAAACTTTTAAAAGTAAGTTGTAAAGATCATGACACTTCCCTAAGAGCAAAACCACAAAATCATTATCACCCTTAAAATTTTAATGTAAAGAAGCCATGCCTCCAGGCATGGCTAAAATGCCTACCTAGCAAACACCAAACCCTGATTTCAAACTCCAGTGCTGCCAAAAAATTTAAAAAAAGAGAGAGAGAAAGGAAGAAAGAAAAAGAAAAGACAAGACAAGAAGGCTGGGCATGGTGCTGCATGCCTATAATCCCAGGTGAGACATGAAGATAACGAGTTCCTGGCCAGCCTGGGCTACATAGAAAGTTCTATGCCAACCTAGAGTTCCAGGTAAGTCTGGGATATATCCAAAACCCTGTCTCAAGAAATCAAAAAGGAAGAGGAGGAGGAGGAGAAGAAGCTTTATTCAGTCTTCTTACAAAGAATCCTGGTCTACCTTCAGGATATTAGCTTGAAGGACTGAGCTGTCACACAGCGTAAACCATGAATATGAATCTGAGTGCAAAGTAACTACTCAGTCCAGCCTGCTTCTTTGGTTCTGGTGGTACCACTCCACAGCAGTAGCACAGGCTCACAGGCTTGAGCTCTCCTGGGCTCTTCATTCATGGGTAATAGCTAATTATTTTTGCTGAAAGTCTCAGGTAGGGAGTGGCAGCATATAGCTACCGAGGGCAGCTAGGAATATGTAAAGGTTGACGAGCAGAGGTACAACAGTTTAGATCAGATTAGCATTGAGAAAGAACCCTCCAACCCCACCCCCGGTACTGTATGGAGGGCAGAGTAACTCCACAAAAGACAGGCAGATCCTGAGACCAGGTTGAGGTTGTACCTGAACTGGTGCTGAGATGGAGGGAATAAAACAGATTCACAAATACAGCAGGAGGATAAGTGTGCTCAGACCTGCGTGTGACCAGCAGATAAACACATTCTGCTGAGGGTGGGGAAGGTAGATCAGGAAGGGCTTCCTGGAAGAGGGAGCCCTGGGCTTGCAGCCACTGTGCTTCACCTCACATGCTGTTTGTTACACCCAGAGCAGGGAAACAGGCTTTTTTCCTTTTCTTTCTTTCCTTTTTTTTTTTGCAGCATGGGGTTTGAACTCAGGACCTCATGCTTACTATGCAGGCATTCTTACCACTTGAGCCACTCCACCAGCCCTAATTTTTGTGATTCTGTCCTTCATTGAGTTGCTAGGACTACAGGTGTGAGCCACTGGTTCGGTGAGAAAATGTCTTAACTGGTCTCCATGCCTCCTTCCTTCGCCTCTCTCCCTGCAGTGTATTCATAGCAACCACTATGATCTTTCTAAATATAAAGCAGGTATCACCCTTCTGCTCAGAACTCTTGATAGCTTCCTGTTTTTACAGACCAAGGGGAGGGTCATTGTTTTTGTTCTACAAAGTTCTGCAATTGTCTCCCACAAGATTCTCTCGCCTATGCCCATCTCATCTCCCTTACTCCATCCCAGAGCATAAAGTCCTTAAAGATAGGGACCCTGCTTGTTTTGTTCACCAATGTGTCCTTAGCACCTGGGATACTGCTGTGTGCTCTGTAAGCATTTGTCGACCAAAAGAATAAAGAAGTGGCAAGTGTCTGTAAGGGCCAGGATGGTCCAAAGGACTTCATGGACATAGACCACTTTTGACTGGGACATGGTGGGAGAAGTGGGGAGAGCGTGTCTGGGTGGAGCCAGGTTTCTCACCCCATCCCCCAATTTTCCTTCCTTTACTTGGCTTGTCATGTCAGTTTCAACGAGACATTTCAGTTTCTGTTCTGGACCATGTTTGGCATGGAAGAGCACAGCGTAGTGGACATGCCTCAGTTTCTAGTGCCTGAGTTCGTGGGCCGGGCCCTCTACGGCATCTTCACCATCGTCATGGTCATTGTGCTGCTCAACATGCTCATCGCCATGATCACCAACTCCTTCCAGAAGATCGAGGTGTGCGAAGGAGGCCAGACTAACCCAGGCTTCTCCCTTCTAGGAGAGAGAAAGGGCAAGGGCTAGGCTTCAAGGAGTCAAGACACTCGGGTTGGGTACTGCTCTGCTTCCACTGTTGTCTTGTTTTGAGGCTTTGACAAACTCTCCTCTGTAAAATGAGGGTCGTGGTAATGCTCTTTCTACGTTTTGGTTGGCAAGCAGAGGTGGAGATTTGGGGGGCAGGTGGGGGGAAGGAGATGTGCGTTGTGGAAAGTAAGTGGGAACATGAGAAGGGTGAGGGAAGGAAAGGGATGGGTTGGGTTTGCAGCTTGGAGAACAGGCTGGGCCGGAACTAGAAGATGGGATGAATGATAATGAGGAGGAAGAGAGGAAAACAGGGAGTCAGGCAGGGGAAATGTGGGTGATAGATGAGTGGAGATAAGAATGAGGAGAATAAGAGATATGCACACTGGGGAAAAGAGGCAGATTGAGTGAGCAAGAGGGCCAGGCACCAGCGTGGCCCTCGCACCGCCCCCTGCCTCCTGCCTGCAGGATGATGCTGATGTGGAGTGGAAGTTTGCTCGCTCTAAGCTCTACCTGTCCTACTTCCGAGAGGGCCTGACGTTGCCTGTTCCCTTCAACATCCTGCCCTCCCCCAAGGCCATCTTCTACTTTCTCAGGTGATGGTCTCAGAGCTCTCATCCCCCGTCCCCCAGCCCCTGCACACCACCCAGTTTGTGGCTCTCATTGACCTAGGCCCTGTTCCCTAACTAACCTCTTTTTACCATTGAAATCTCTCAGGAGAATTTTCCGGATTGTTTGCTGTTGTTGTTCTTGCTGCAAAACCAAGAAGTCAGACTATCCCCCTATTCCCACTTTTGTGAGTACCTCAGCTGCTTGTCAGTCTCTCTCACACCAGCCTTCAACTGTATTTCCTAGACCAGCCAGTTACAGGCATGCATCTTTCCAGGTATGCTCCCCAGAAAGCCTGCTCCCAGTTCCCACTTTCCCTTGTGACTTCCCTTTCTTTCTTCCTAGCTCTGGCTATTCCCTAAATTTCCAACCCTATGTCCTGCAGCCTAAACAGATGTCCATGCCACCCTCCTCCCAAGTTACAAATACCCCCTAAGATCTAGAAAAACTGGGACAAGTTGTGGGTGAATGTTTTTTCAAAAACATATGAACATATATTTACAAGGGTAAATGCCTACCAACTGGGAAATTAGAAAGCTGACAGAAGACCCAAGCAAGCTGGGCATCTAAGAGGCTCACTTATCTCACATCACCTGCACCCTAACCCAGTCTGATTCTACATGAGAGCCCCTTCCTAGTTCCCACCAGCATTACTGCCAGGTCTGTAGGGAGTTCTCCCTTCTCTCCTCCCCCTCCCAGCCTTCATCATGCTCACAGTCAGTCTTTTCCCAGCCTCAGCTTCCCTCTACCTTCCAGGACTGTACTGTGAGACGGAGCCAGACTAGAGGCTATGTACATGGACTTCAGGGACAGAAACCTGCACAGCCCTTGTCATGGTCCTTTATTGCCAGGGCAGGACAGTGATTAGAGGAAGGCTGGTGTGGAGAATATCTCTCACCATCCTGTCTTTCCATTCCAGGCCAATCCTGGGGTAGGGGCAGGGCCTGGGGAGGGACAGCGTGGGTCCTACCGCCTTCGTGTCATCCAGGCCCTGGTACAGCGCTACATAGAGACTGCCCGGCGTGAATTCGAGGAGACCCGACGGAAAGGTTGGTTGTCCACTTCCAAACCTTCCCCATTCCTGCTCCTTGCTCAGTTGGTCTAAATGCCCCACACCCAGACTCACATCCTTCATTCAGCTGCAGTCCTATGTGGCTCTATCCTGCCCTGCCCTTGAAAGCCACAGCCCTATACAGTATGGCTCTTGTACTGACCTATGTGGGCATTTGTTCCAGTCTTTTCATCTAATCACTCACTCCTGCCTTGATTCATGTGTCTGTTTATCCTCTCATTCACTTATTCATCCACTCATTCAACCAGTGTTCACTGTTATGTCTTCCCTTGTTCTAGACTGTATCTTGGAGGGAGGGGGCTCTGTAGAGCAGAACACATGGGAAGCTTTCAGCGTGGTGAGAAATCATCATAGTAGCAGAAAATGCTTAACTAAGATACAAAATTGCAGTGGGAGCCCAAAGGACAGAAAGTACCTCTCATTTTGAGTGGATCGGGGAAGAGAAAAGTGGAGAAAGGGCAGGTAGAGTATGAGCTGGGCCTGAAGGATGGCTATGAGCTGGCCAGGTATAGCTTGTAGAAAGGGCTGATGGGGGTAGATGTACAAATCCACCCACTACAAACCTCCCCCATGACTTTTCAACCCCCTTTCTGGCCCACGAGACTTTCCTTCCTCCCACTACTACTTAGATTTGTCTGCCCCAGATTCTGCTTGCCCAGTTGACTCATCAGTTCATCAGAACCTCAACAGGATGTCCCTGAGGTTCTGTTGAGGGTGGCAGAGGTACTGAGCAGGCTCATCTTCTGAAAGCCCTCCCCCTCAATGCTCCACCTTTGCAGACCTGGGCAACAGATTGACTGAGCTGACCAAGACTGTATCTCGCCTGCAAAGTGAAGTTGCCAGTGTGCAGAGGACCCTGGCAGCAGGAGGGACACCCCGGCCTCCTGATGGTGCCAGCATTCTCAGCCGCTACATCACCCGAGTGCGCAATAGCTTCCAGAACCTGGGTCCCCCCATCCCTGAGACCCCAGAACTGATGGTGCCAGGGATTGTGGGGACCCAGATCTCTTCAGAAACCGAGCTTCAGGCAACTGAAGAGGCTGGGACTCCAGCTTCTGGAGAGTCTGCCCCTTCCTCCCCAGCCCATGTGCTGGTGCATAGAGAGCAAGAGACAGAGGATGCAGGGGATGTACCCCTGGAGGAGGATTTGAACACTGAGGAGAGGTCCTAATGCAATGAAAGGCTCTCCTCTTCTTTCGCTGAGTACAGCAGCCTAGTTGGGTGGAGTGAGATTCACCTAGTTGCTTCCCTTGCCTCAATAAAGTTTGTTCTGTAGATGTCAGCTGCCTTTGGAGGGGGTGAGAATCCTTGTCTCTTGAGATTTTAAGTTCCTTCCTCCATTTCCCTCTGAAACAGACCCTGAGTGAGCAGGGCAGAGGGCAACAGCTTGCTTTGAGGCTCTCAGTTATCTTGGGCTTAGAATCCCACTTTGGGCTCCCTCAGATTTTTAGTGGACAAGGTTCTGGCCCAGGAGGCAGGAGGCTCAGGAGGCAAGAGCCCTGGCTTCAGTACACACTGTCTGACCTGGGGCAACTTGGGTCCTCCTTTGGGTGTGTGTTCCTCCTCAAACAAACAGAGCTAAGGAATCCATCTGTCCCATTTCCTGCCTTCGTGGTTGTTGGAGGACCCTGTGTTAAAGCTCTGGCTTTGCAAGTTACAGTGTGTGTCAGGGGTCTGATAGGACCCGTGTCTAGGAGTTATCAAGAAGTTACTCTTGCTAGGTGCCTGTGGCTGATGCCTGTAATCCTAGCTACTCAGGAGGCAGAGAACAGGAGTATCACAGTTCAAATCCAGCCTGGGAAAACAGTTCCCTGAGACCTTATCTCAAAGAACACTTCATAAAAATAGGGCTGGTGGAATGGTTCAAGGTGAAGGCTCTGAAAAAAAAAGTTACTCTTTTTAGTCCCTTAGTCTCTGAGCCTGGCAACAGAAGATGATCTCAGGGAATAAACCAGTCACAAAAGTCCGTATCTCCACGTCACAACACTGTTTAATTGAGTAGCCATCATGGCTCTTCCCTTGTTTGTTCCAGAAAGTCCCCATTGCATAGTGGGGCTCCCCCAACCCTGCCATGGTCTCCCAGTACCATGGTTGGGGAAGTGGCTGCTAGGACTGGCTCCAGAACCATGCTCTGGCTTCTTGAGGCTGTTCAAAGCCGCCCTTCTTCAAAGGAAGGTCACTAGTTCCCAAGATTCCTAAGTGACAGGTGTTGGATTTTCAGGGCCCAGCTTCAGAGAGCTGGAACCCCCCAGGGGCCAAGAACAGGGTCTTCCAGGAATGCAGAGAAAAGCCCCCCTGGGAAGGTGACTCTACTTGCCCTGCTGCTGGAGAAAGAAGAAAAGAAGGCGATGGGGTCAGCAGGGCCAGGGGAATGAAAGCAGCTGAGAGAGAGAGCAGGAGGGCAACTCACCTGGTGCAGACACACAACCCTGCCTCTTCTCCCCTGCAACAGACACAAGGTAAGGCGACTCCCACACTCCAGATGTCCCCACCAAGCCCCTCTGTCTTTCCCTTCTGCCTCTTTCCAGATTGCCTATCCAGCCCCACTTCCCCCACACTGCCACTCCTTTCTGTGCCTGCTTCAGCACTGGGGAATAGCACATTTGTGTCCTTTCAACCCCATCAAGCCTGGGCCTTGTGGGATCTGAAGCTTCTATCTCTTTCCTCTGTGTGCCAACCTCTTGACAAGGTTCCTCTGGTCTATTAGAGCGTCTAGCAGACAATCATCTGAGACTATTCACAGATCTGAAAAATGCTTACAGGATTTGGCAGAACCTGAGTCCCATTAACCAAGTGGTCTCCTGAGGGCTCTGAGGACTGTGCAGGGACATCGGGCTTATTTCACCCACCCTACCCGTCTTTCATCCCTCATGCATAGCTCACCACCCAAATAAGCGCAGTTAAAGTGGCTGCAGGTCTGATTATGGCTCCAGAGAGTCACCAGGCTCTGGGCTCCATCCTGGGAGAACCCAGTGACCAAGAAGACTTCGTGGGGGGGAATCAGCACCTCACGCTCTTCAGGGAAGACAGACAGGGCCTGGATAAGGGCCCCAAAGCAAGTCCTTAGAGAGAAGAAGGTAGCATTACCAAACCTGCGAGCCACCGTCTCATCTAGGGAGCTGGAGGCAAACTGGCCTAAGCGGACAGAGTCTCCCAGCCTCTTGGGTTGAAAGCGAAGGCTTCCCACGCCTCGGAAGACCACCTCCCCAGCTTTCCTGCGGCAGCCTCCACTGCCCTGCAGCAGTTGCAGGGCCCGGGTCAGGTAGAAATGCAGAGCCTTGAAGGGGAAGTGCCTCATGTAGAGTTCCCGGGAGCCACCGCCCGTGCGCACAGCGTGGTTCAGCTCCCAGTACAGGGTGTTAGTCGAGTTGGTATAGACCATAACGGCTATTCCATGCTGGGTTTTGAAGCCAGGGGGCAGAGTGAGTCCTCGTCGCTGGTGTTCCCAGGCCTTCTGCGCTGCCTCCCAGGATTCCCGGAGCAGGGCATGGTGAACCATCTCTTCCTTTAGCAGGGAGACCGCCTTCTCCTCCATCTCCTCTGAACAGCCCACATAGGCATCATCGAAGGTGTCAGGAGCCAGGCCCAGGGATAGGAAAGGAACAGCCTGGGCCTGTAGACATGAGGAAGAGAAGAACCATAGGGAAGAAGTTCAGAGGGCAGATAAGAAAGAGAAATAGAGGGGGTGAATAGGATCAAAGTACATTATATATAGATATAGATATAGCTTTTTTTTTGCGGTGCTGGGGCTCGAACTCAGGGCCTACACCTTGAGCCACTCCACCAGCCATTTTTTGTGATGGGTTTTTTTGAGATAGGGTCTCATGAACTATTTGCCCAGTCTGGTTTTGATCTGCGATCCTCCTGATCTCTGCCTCCTGAGTAGCTAGGAATACAGGATGTGAGCCACCGGTGCCCGGCTAATCTTTTTAAAATAAAATCAAGAGTCTAAGTTCACAGCACTGGACAGGGGTCTTGGTGGCAGACCAGTTCAGAAACACACAATCTGGTTTCTAGGCCCAAATATCTAGTGTATGCAATTGGCAAGGGCCCAAACAGATATAAACCACACAGGTACTAGAGTCAGACAGACATGGGTTCAAACACCACCTACTAGCTGTAGGATCTTGAGTAAGTCTCACGTCTGTTTTCTGGGCTTCAGGTTCTTCATCTATAAGTTGAGGATACTTCCAGCCTCACAGGTTATTGTGAGGATAGCATAAAGATCACTTCTGCATAGCCTAAAAGGGGTCATTTTGTCATTAGAGGGGCCCCTGCACTCAGCTGGAGATGGAGCTAGATGACCCTAAGCACTTTTCAGTATGCAGATGATAACCACATAGCCAATGTCCAATGCCTGACCAGGTCCACATCCTCAGACCTTTCTCTCATTCTTCAGGAGGCCCCTGCAGGTGCTTAGCAACTACACTAAATCATTGTCAGCTCTGAGATTCCTGAGTCTCCTCTGCTTTAGAAGACTTTACCCTAAAATTGGGGGTGGGGAGACGGGAGGTCAAGTTGCCAGGACGGCACCACACAGGTAGCCCACTGAGCTTAGCCTGGGGTGGGTGATGAGAAGTGGGGAGAAGAGAACTGGAGGTACTCGCTAGGGAGGGGAACATGAGGGAGAAAGGCTTACATGGGGAGCTGGGGATGAGAGGCGTGGGTTCCAAAGGAGGGAAAGGGACCTTGGGCTCTCTGCAGGGATGGAAGTTTCTGAGCGAAGAGGACTGAGAGAAGGGCAGAGTCCTTGGAAGAGTTTTGAGGAGTCCCCCCCCCCGCCGTCTACCTCCTCAGGGTCTGTCCCCCACCAGCCTCCTTGGTGACAAGGGATGGTTCCGTGAGTTACCTGCCAGAGGGTGTCGAGGCAGAGGCGGCTGAGGATGATCAGCAGAGCCCCCAGCATCATCCCCTGGGGGATTCTTAGGAGAGCGGGATCCAGGTGAGGGTGAGACCCGCGGCGGTGGAGTCCTGGCTTGGATGGGCTCCACGACCCTTCCTCCTGCCGTGACGTGAGGGGTCCCGGGTCTGGGCACGGCTCGGGCGGGGCGTGGGCGGGGCCAAGGGCGGGCCTAAGGGAGGGCGGGGCCTTGGATTTTAAGGTTCCTCACTTACCAACTCAGTCTACATTCCTCAGACTGCCAGACGCCCCCATATTCAGCGTCTCCTGCGATCGGAGAGGTGGGACGGCTGTATGGGGAGGGGAGGGGAGGGCCGAGGGGACCGAGGACCCACCTGGAGGCTGCGGAGGCTGAAAGCGGGGGCTAATGTCCTGGCGGGCACCGCGCTGTCCCGGGACTGCTAAACAAAGTCCCCGCGGCTAACTATAGCCCCTGCGCGGTAACCCGACACCTGTCTTCCCAACAACGGACACGGGGCGTGGGGGACGCAGCGGAGGCGTGAGGGGTTGAGGTCGGAACTCCCCTTCCCAAGGACTATGTGTTCTTTTCCGGAACCCTCTTAGACTTCCAGCAAGGTCAAGGTTGGGGGAGGGATCTGTGATACTTGGGTACTCACTCAGGTGGTCCTGACCCGCGGGGACCCAACCAGGCCAGGCAGCCGCTCGAGGTGGGTCCCGCCTGTCAAGAGGTCTCTCTTTGTGCAATCGCTGATTTACATACAATTTGCATGTGGCCCACAGGTGGGCTTCAGCGTCTGAAGAAGACCCATTCCCCTTCCTTCTTCTCTACCTCCTGCCCCTCCTCATTAGTAAGTAGGGTTAGATCAGATGCAAAGCTTTGCCTCAGATTCTAGGGTCCAGGTCTGCTCCTTTTCCCAGACCCTGCCTCTCTGGACATCTCAGTCTCAGGTGACCTCATGTTTGTAAACACTAGTCTTCCCTCCCGCCTCTGAGCTTATCTATAAATAACCTGGCTCTGAATTTTGGATGCCCAATTAAAGGTAATGGGAGAAGGGACAGACTGAGGAATCAGTTAGTGGCTTAGGGAAGGGCTCACAGCCTGGGTCTGGAGGAGTGGAATGTCATTCCCCTGGAGGTGGGGGGAGGATCCTGACTGTTAGGACTTAAAAGATGCCACCCTGGGCCAGGGTGGGCATGGGAGATTAGACCTACCGAAAGCCTCCATCCTAGACTGGTTGGTTAATTTACCTCATCCCTGTCTCCTCAATCCAATCAAATTGTCAACCAAATAAAGAGTTTTCTTCATCTAGAATCCTGTTTTATCTCAAAATCCTTCCTGAAGACCAAAGAGGAAGATAAACTGTATCCAGGAGTGGGGGAAGGTGGGGAGGGAGGTGGAAAGAGTGGCATGCCCCAACACAAAGCTTGTTAAGAAAGTAGCTTGAAGCGGGGCTCTGGTGGCGGTGGCTCATGCCTGTAATCCTAGCTACTCAGGAGGATCAACATTCAAAGCCAGCCCGTGAGATCCTAAATCGAAAACATCCCATCACAAAAAAAAGGGCTGGTGAAGTGGCTGAAGTGGTAAAAGTTCCTAACTAGCAAGTGTGAGGCCCTGAGTTTAAACCTCAGTGCTGCTAAAAGAAAAAAAAAAAAAATGCCTTTTGTGTGTGTGTGTGTGTGTGTGTGTGTGTGTGTGTGTGTGTGTGGTACTGGGGTTTGAACTTAGGGCCTACACCTTAAGCCACTCCACCAGCTCTTTTTTGTGATCGATATTTTAGAGACAGAATCTCAGGAACCATTTGCCCTGGCTGGCTTTGAACTAGGGTTACAGGCTAGGGTTATAGGCGTGAGCCACAGGAACTTGGCTGAAATTCAAGACAAGTTCTTTTGCTCTCTTCCAATGATAGATCCCAGGGCCCCTAGATTAAAGATCGGGAGCCACTCTACAGTGTTCCATCATTGTGAAAAACAGGACCTCGACTACCTATCCTGCCTGCCTCTCCTTGGAGGGACCCAAATGTTTGCCGCAAGGACAGAAGATCCTGTGTCAGGATAGCTTGGCCAGCTGGGACAGCTCCTGAGGCCAGACTTACTGGAATCACTGCTTTGTCCTCTCTGTACCTTTTGACTTTGGGGAATTGCTTCTCCCACCCCAGGACCTGGAGCCCCCACAAAACCTCCAAGAGATGGAATCCAATGTAGTCATGAAGCCGGGAGCCAGTGATTCATGACTATAATCCTAGCTACTTGGGAGGCAGAGATCAGGAAGAGTGCAGTTCGAAGCCAGCCAGGTCAAATAGTTTGTGAGACCCTATCTTGAAAATACCCAACACAAAAAAGGGCTGGTGGAGTGGCTCAAGGTGTAGGCCCTGAGCCACAAAAAAAAAAAAAAAAAAAAAAAAAAAAAGTAGTCATGGCACAAGGGTCCTGAGTGAGGTAGAAAGTCCTCCCAGATCACATGGCAAGTCAAGGGTGGAGCTGGGCTGGAACCTAAAAGCAGCTCCTTAGTCTGAGTCTCTCCTTGCCCCTCAGGTGAGTCTTAATGATCAAAGAAAGGAATAAAATGTAAGGAGAAGCCCCTGCTGTGGGAGTGAATAAGCCACTTCTCTTTTTCCCCTTGGCTGACAGAACCCAGGACCAAACCCAGTGAGGAGACAGTTGTCCCAGCTGGGACTCTCCATGCCTCAGCACTTTTCCATGGCTTCTGGGAAACCCTTTGTCATGGGAAGAGCACTGACCCAGGTCAGACTGGGCAGAGGCTAGTGTTCTGAGCCTTTAGGAGACGTCCAGAAATAGATGGGGGAGTGTCACATTTCTGAGCAGCTGTGTGGGGGAGGTACAGGGGGGACTTGACAGTATAAAGTCACCTCCTTTCCCTAGTGACTATCACAGGAGAACACCAGCTTCCCCACACTGGAGAAGGCCTAGGTAAGGGGCATCCCACCCTCCTGGGCTTTGAGCAGGGAAGGAATTTTTTGAGGTGAAATTTAGGGCATTAATGCAGTTTTAGGGGTCATAAGGAAATTTTCAGGGAACCTTTGACAGAGAGGTCTGGGATACCTAGAGAGGTTTGTGGACATGTGAAAGTTTGAGATTCCTGGGATGAGATTTGGGGTCACTCATCAACAGGGAATGTTCCAGTTTACCCAGGAAGAGGGTAAACTGACCAGAGAATTGCCCTGAACAGGGTGAGAGGAAGGACAGAGGAAGGGCAAATCCTGTGGTTGTGGGAGGGATTGCCCAGCATCTCTATATCCACCCTTCCTGCACCATCCCCATCTCTCTGGCCCTCCCTTCATCTTCCCCCCCCAATACTGGTTTTCAAGGTGAGCAGTCTACCCGCTCTGCAGTAGTCTGTCTTGTCATCTATACCCAGAAGCCTCTCAGACTTGTTACCAGAGACTTGGGGTCTTTTTGTACAGAAGGAATAGAAATGACAGCAGCTGAGTGTGCATGTGTGCGGAGGACACAGGCAAGGTTTTACTGGGGATTTGGCTCACAAGCAGAAGGGAGCTATCACTGACTGCCAGGTTTTTTTTTTTTTTTTTGAAGGCACTGGGGTCATGATCTCAGGGCCTCACACTTGCCAGGCAGGCTGCTTGAACAACTCTACCAACACTTCTTTTGTGATGGGTTTTTTCCAGATAGGGTCTTGGGAACTATTTGCTTGGGCTGGCTTCAAACTGCAATCCTCCTGATCTCTGCCTCCTGCGTAGCTAGGATTACAGGTATGAGCCACAGCTGCCTGGCTCAGGCTGCTGTTCTTAGAAGAAAGGGAGAGGCAGTCTTTTACTGACTTGCTGAGATGGGCTAACTGGGGACATCATCTCGCCTGAAAGAGGGTGGGGGGGAACTGCTGAGCTTCTGGAAGAGAACAGGGTAGAAGCCCAGACAGTTCCAGGAGCAACCAATATGTCTGTATGTAGGGCTGAAGAGAATTTGACTTAAAGGTTAAAGCAGCAAAGGGGAAGCTGGAGAGCCTGAGTCTTTCATCCCATTCCAGTCAATCTGCAAACACATGTGAAGCTAGAGGGTTTATTTAGGTTTCTCTATGTAGCAAGTCTCTCAGCAAACATTCTGGGAACCTTGCTTGTGTCTAGTCATGAACTGAGACCGGGGACACAGACTGTGTTACACCTGGTTCCTGCCCTCAAGGAACTTACAGGCCAGGAGGAGAGACAGGCACACATAAGTGCAGCACAGTATGTTGAGGACAGTGACAGAGAGCAGTGCAGAGTGATGTGGGACCCCAAAGGAGCTGGAAGGCTTGCTGAAAGAGGTGACCTCTAGCTAAGCCTTGACAAGTGGGTCACCAGGAGAAGGATAGCAAGTAGACAGGAAACAACAGAACTTTGTTCTATACTGGAACTTTGTTTTATACTGCAGAAGTTAAACAGGTGTATAGGTATGAGGCTAAAGAGATGACAGAGGACCAGGTCATGGAGGGCCTTGAAAGGCAGGACAGGGAACTTGGGCTTTGTCCAGAGAGTATGGAAGGATGCTCTATTTTCTGCTTTTTGTTTTATAGATGTGGTCTCATCTCTTCCCTCATAATTTTCATGTTTGCATTTTATTCTGTATTTTCAGATATTTTTCCAATTAGTTTTGGCACAGGTGGTTTTTAAGCAGGTGAGGATGATGACCACAGCTGTACTTTAGGGAGACATGCCCCATGGCAGGGGGACAGAGGTGGCAGGGGGGGGGGTCTAGACAAAGGGATAGAAATCTAGGAAGGCCCAAATTGGACTCAGCATTTGTTGGCAACTACAGTGATGTTTGATGAATGAGTGAATGGATACCCAGGTGACCACATTGGGTAACTGGGTACATAACAGGGAAAATGTAGTACATGAGACTCTTCCAGTGGCAAGCCAGCAGGAACCACCCTGAGCTAGATTAAATCTAAAGAGGAATTTATCACAAGGGTACCAAGGTATCTCCTGGAACCCAATGGCCAGAAGTGAAAAGCCTAGAAAGCCAGGGAGGGGGCTGGCTCCACCTGAGCTTCCACTCACCCTTCCAGCTGCTTTTTGCTTCTCAGCCCTCCCTTCCTCTCTCCCTAGGATCTCATCCCTTTCCTGACTTCCATACATACATAACTCAAATGCCTCTCCTTCCTGTCCATTCTGCTGCCTCTTTAACATCTGCCCCTGGGGAGTTCACATTTTCCAAACTGAATTCACCATTTCTCCTGACAATTCATGGAATTCATTTTTTATTGGGCATATACTATGTAATAGGGACTATAAAAATAAGCAAGGTAAGTATATTTTTGTTTTTTTTGAGATAGGGTCTCACTATAAAGCCCAATCTGACCTTGCACTTGTGATCCTCTTGCCTCAGTCTCCCAAGTGATTATATCTGGAATTATAGACAGATAGTTGCTGTCACACTTGGCAACAAGATGAGATTTTAAAACCTACTGTGAAAATGATGGAGGGAGTGAATTCAACCATGATATATTTGATACATTGTAAGAACTTTCGTAAATGCCATAATGTACCCCAGCACAAAACAAAGTCTGCGTACAACATAGTGCTTATAGCTACCAAAAAAGTAAATAAATTATAAGGTACTTAATTTTTTTTGTGGTACCAGGGTTTGAATTCAGGGCCTTGCCCTCACTAGGCAGGCATTCTACCACTTGAATCACATTTCCAGCCCTTCAAATTTTGCTAAGAGGAGCCAGGCATGGTGGTCCGTTCCTGTAATCCCAGGACTTGGGAAGCTGAGGCCAGACTAGGATATATAGTAGGACTCTATTTTAAATAAATATATATATGTGTGTGTGCGTGTGTGTATATATATATATATATATATATAAAGAAAGCAGATCTCACATTAACTTTTCTTGCCATACACACACAAATGAAATTTTAAAAAACAGGTATCTTCCAGGATGTCTACCATGTTCCTTCCTCTCTCTTTCACACCTCCATTTTTTTTCTTTTTTAGGGGGGCGGTGGTACTGGGGTTTGAACTCAGGCCTTATGCTTGTTAGATAGTGTTCTACTGCTTGAGCCACTCTGCCAGCCCTTTTTTTGTGTTGGTTTTGTTTATTTGCAGTACTGGGACTTGAATTCAGGGCCTTCACCCTGAGCCATTCTACCAGCCCTATTTTTGTGAAGGGCTTTTTGAGATAGTATCTCAAAAACTATTTGCCCAGGCTGGCTTTGAACTGCAATCCTCTGCCTCTTGAGTTGCTAGGATTACAGGCATGAGCCACCGGTGCCTGGTGGGTACTTTTTTTTTTTTTTTTTTTTTGCAGTCCTGGGGCTTAAATTTAGGGCCTACAACTTGAGCTACTCCACCAGCCCTTTTTGGTGCTGAGTTTTTTCAAGACAGAGTCTTGCTAATTATTTGCCTCGGCTGGCTTTGAACCCCAATCCTCCTGATCTTCTCTGCCTCCTGAGTAGCTAGGATTATAGGCATGAGCCACCAGCTCCCAGCCACCTCCATTTTATCTGGTGATGCTCTGTGTCAAGCATTGGGAGTGGCACAGTCTAGGTACTAATAAGTGGACACAGAAAACTTTTGGAAGGATAGATACGTCCACTACTTTGATTATGGTGATGGTAACATGAGCATATGCACATTTTCAAAACAGTTAAATGAAAATTAAGAAGCCAATGCTATCTAATATTGACAACGATGTGGAGAAAAAAGCATTCCCTTTCACTGTTGGAGGGAGGAAAGACTGGTGTCTTTTGGGTAGCAACTTGGCAGCAGCTATCAACATAAAAAATACTCAGATCCTTGGGCTGAGGATATAGCTGAGTGGTAGAGCACTTGCCTAGTGTGGGTGAGGCCCTGGGCTTAATCCCCAGCACCACAAAATAAGCAAATAATAAATAAATACAATAATAAAAAACCAAGCCGGGTGCTGGTGGCTCACACCTGTAATCCTAGCTACTCAGGAAGCAGAGCTCAGGAGGATCACGGTTCGAAGCCAGCACCAGGCAATTAATTCTGTGAGACCCTATCTCGAAAATACCTAACACAAAAAAGGGCTGGTGCAAGGTGTAGGCCCTGAGTTCAAACTCCAGTACTGCAAATAATAATAATAATAATAATAAACCACAGTCTTTAAATCTCATTTACTTCTCAAAATCTCCCCTATAATATATGCACACAAGTAGACAAGAATTTATATACATAAATGTTCACCACAGATTATGTATAATATTTAAAAATTAGGGCAGGGAGGTGTAGCTTGGTCTCACTATATAATAGTGAGACCCTGTCTCAAAAAAAAACAAACAAAAAATTGGGGGAAAAACCCCTAAATGTCCATCATATAGCTTAAGTACACCATGGAGTAAACCATGGGGCTATTATAATAAACAAGGTACATCTGTATGTACTGATATTGAAGTAAGTCCATGATATGTTATTTCTTGGAGGAAAAAAAGTTATAGGAGGTGTATGAAGTATTTCTAGTTTTTTGGGTTTTTTTTTTTTTTTGGTGGGACTGGGGTTTGAACTCAGGGCTTCATGCTTGCAAAGCAGGTGCTCTACCACTTGAGCCACACCTCCAGTCCTAGGATATGTGTGTATAAGCATGTTCTGTTTCTCTTTTGGAAAAAAAATGATAATAAAACCCCAGATGGGCTAGGGTTTACAGAAAACTATGTTATGTATATGTACATTTAAATATTACACTGTTTATATATGCTCTGAGTAAAGGTCCTAGAAGACACAGTTATCACTGGTCAGTTCTCCCCACTGGCAGACATGGGTAAAGTGGGAAGGGGATGTACAGAGGAAAGAGGAAGAAGAAAGAGGACTTGGACTTTGTGATTCATACCCTTACTTCCCCTCCAGAAGCATTACTTTGTAATAAAAACACATTTGGAATACTTCATAATAAAATAAACAGAAAGGAGAAGGCAGCTCAGCAGTACCACTAACCTAGAGAAATCTGTCCGAATTCTGACCCAAAGCTTGGCAGCCCTCTTCTTAAAGCCATTTTGGGCCCTCAGGGGGTCTGTCCACCCTTAGAGTATAGCAGGCAGGCTGTGGTTCCTGAGCTCCCTTGGGGAAGTGGATGCTCTCTGTACTTGCCCTTTCCCAGCAACCCAGCCATCTCTGTCTGGAAGGAGCTGAGGGCTGGGAGAAAAGCACTGAATACCACAGGACTACAGAGAGCACGGACCCCTGGACCCCAGTCCTGCTGTATGTTCCCAGAGTCCCATGGCCTTATCTGCTGTCCTCTCCTGTAACTGCCCTTGTTCTGGCCTCATGTGTTTGGGGGAGGGGGCTGTAAAGCCCAGACCTCTCATCTTGGCAGTTAGGTCCCTTCATGACTGCTTCCAATCTTCCCAACATTCAGATTAGATGACATGTGGCTGGCTCCTTACATCCTGAGAGTTCCTACCTCCCGTACCTTTGCTCTCTCTATTCCTACTGCCCCCAAATCCTTCCATTCTCAAAATGCTGATCTTTTCTCTCTGTCTTGACTGCTGAAATCTTATTCTCCTTTTCACCTATTCATCCTGTAAGACCCTGTTTAAGTCACCTCCTCAAGGACACCTTCCATGTGCATTCCAGCAAGAAGGGTTGCCCCCCACCCCATCCCTCTCTTCTAGGTGCCTCCATTTCTATCTTGTGGTGCCAAGCACCGCAATTTTCCAGATGAGGAGAAAGAGACAGCAACTTGCCCAGGGTCACCTCCAACATGCAGATTCCTGCCATGATGTCTCTGCTACTTGTGTCTGTGGGCCTCATGGATGCATTTCAGGTATGGTCATCCTCCACCATCGCCATCCCAGCAGAGAGCTGAGCTGTTGGCTGCTTCCCAACCCTGAAAGGAGGAACAGAGAGAGGAAACAATTCCTTATGGTGCCCTTGGGGATCAATCGCTCCTTGAAGGTTCAGACCAGGCACTGGTCTTGGGGAGCTTGTAGCCAGTAATTCCCACTCCACTTCTCCTCCAGGTGTGTTTGGGGTCCTTCCTGTCTTTCTAAGTAGAACGAGCCTGGCCTCAGTGGAAGACAGTGGCCCCGTTCTCCCAGGGGCTGTCCTCTCAGTTGCTGCTGCTCCTTCCCCCTCAGATCCAGAGTCACACCATCATAAGGCGAGGCTTCTTCTTTCAAGAGACACCCCTGGACATGGCCCTGGCCTCCTTTGATGACCAGTATGCTGGTTGTGCCGCAGCCATGACAGCTGCCCTCCCGGATCTCAACCACACTGAGTTCCAGGCCAACAAAGTGTATGCAGATGGCTGGGCATTGGCAAGCAGCCAATGGCAGGAGCGCCGAGCCTGGGGACCTGTGTGGGGCATCAGCCCTAGCCACCTGCCCCCGCCACCCCCGGGCTTCCGGGATGAGCATGGGGTGGCGCTCCTGGCCTACACAGCCAACAGCCCCCTGTACAAGGAGTTCAACGCGGCAGTGCGTGAGGCGGGCCGCTCCCGGGCCCACTACCTCTGCCACTTCTCTTTCAAAACGCTCCATTTCCTGCTGACTGAGGCCGTGCAACTGCTAGGCAGGGACCGGCGTCAGCCTCAGTGCTACCAGGTGTACCGAGGAGTGCATGACCTGCACTTCCAGACAGCAGGGCCAGGGGCCACCGTAAGGCTGGGGGGCTTTGCCTCTGCCTCTCTGCAAAATGCTGCAGCCCAGCAATTTGGAGAGGATACCTTCTTTGGCATCTGGACCTGCCTTGGGGCTTCCATCAAGGACTACTCCTTCTTCCCTGAAGAGGAGGAGGTGCTGATCCCCCCCTTTGAGACCTTCCAGGTGGTCAATGTCAGCCGACCCTCCCAGGGCCCTGCCCATATTTACCTCCGTGCTCTGGGCAAGTGCAGCAGATACAACTGCGAGTACATCAAAGGTGAGGAAGACGGCAGGTCTGCACCTGTGCAGGTGGGCTTTCCCTCTCCACGATGGGCTTTGGCAAATCCAATCCCCCCTCCAAAGGATTCATACATAAATATTAAAATCAAACCACCAGTGAGGAGGTCATGTGCATTCTGAGGCACAATGTTTCTTGTTCCTGAAGGTGGCTAGGCCAGAGCTGGCTACTTGCTGCTGGGCGGCTGAGGGTTCCCCAAAGAAGGCAGGGATTTGGGGGGCATTTGAAGGGGCAAGCACATCTGTCAGGTTCGTTTCTTGGCTGGAAGCTGGAAGGGAATTAACTTCTAGTCACAGTATTAACACCTAGGTTGCCACAGTCTCTGGTTTGAAGAAGAGCGTATTTATGAGACAGAACAGAAATTCCATGCTATAATGTGTGCTGGGTGGGGTGGGGAGCCAGACAGCAGGTGGGTTCAGGCTGGAGTCAGACAGGTGTCAGCTTCTTCAATCCCTTGGGACTGGCCAGAGAAAGAATCATGAGAATAGCCCCACTCTCAGCCTCTGAAGGGGCGGTGGGCTGCTGTTTTCAGCTGACTAGAGGCCTGATTTTTGTAGCTGGAGGCAGATAGTTGGCCCAAACTGTAACCACAGCTGAGATGAGAGTCAGTCCATAGTGACTTTGAGTCCCACCTTGGATGGTATCATGAGTGTGCATGAGTTGACATATGCAGAGGAAAATAGGCCAAGAACCCAAACTAGCCTTTCTGCCTGGGACAAAACATGGGACAGGGACAGGTAAGTAAGGCCAGGAGGCAAAGTTATATAGGTGGGGGAGCAGAAGTGGCCCAGAAGGGACTCTGGGTAGTTGCCTCTCTTCTGGCCCCACTGCTCAAGGGTCAAGTTAAATGTAGTCAAAGGAGGGCTCAACCTAAGGAAGAAGATTGGGGAAAGTATACCAGGTTTTCCTAGAGCAGGTCAGGGTTGGATCACCAGCGCTCTGAGGCCCCTTCCTGTCCTGAGAGCTACTGAGGCTTCAATTCTTTGCTGTTTTTTCCCTGCAGATAAGAAGCACAGATCTGGGCCCTGCAGGCTGGATAGCTCAGGTAAGGGCTGCAGGCATGTGGGACTTAGTGCAGGGATGGGCAGGCTACTGTGAGGGTGGGCCCTACCCGGATTGCCCTATTGTAAGGAAACCACCTCCTTATCAAAGAAGTGAATCCTCTTCATCAAACGGCTTCCCAGGTCTCCAGCCTCTCCCAAGGCTGTGTGGAGGAGGTAGCAGTTGGGGCAGTAGATCCACCTGCTCTTCAGCTGGGTCTGCTCCCTCACAGGACAGAGCCCCTGCCAGGCCTCACAGGTTCAGGCTGCTCTGAGTTGAGGGAGACAAGGTTTGCTTCCCACAGTGTCCTCCCTTGGCCTTTTTCTTTTAGCTGTAGAACCCACTGTTTCTGTTACTGTCCTCAGGGATCCCTAACTTTGAAGGCTGAGGCCAGGCATTGGATGCTAGAGTCCAGGCTCTACTCAAACTTTCTCTATGGCCAGCCTATTCTTCCTCTTGGCCTCAGTTTCCCTATTTATAGGAAGCAAATAGGACCAGGCAACACTTGGTTCCTGTTCAGCTGTGACTCTTCTCTTCCCTTAAACACTTGCCACCACTTCTCTGGGTTACTTTCAGGGAAGAAACAGTAACTCCCCCATGCCCAGCTATAGGTATCTTCTCTCTCCTGTTGGGACTTTGTGAACATTGGGCAGAAAAGATCCAATAGACAATGGTCTATTGGAAAGATACAGGAGTACTACTTCATGTAGTAAAGTGAGACCAGAGACAGAAGTGACTTACCCAAGGTGACACAGTGAGTTAGTGGCAGAGCCATGACCACAAGCCTCCAACCCAAGTCTGTGTGTGTGTGCTTCATTTTTGTTTTTGAGACAAGTTCTCTCCAGGTATCCCAGGCTGGCCTTAAATTTATGGCCCTCCTGCCATAATCTCCTGAGTGCTGGGATTATAGATATGGGCCACCAGGCCTGGCCCAGACATCTTTGGGTTTAGATGATGCATAATTTCAGGCACTGGAAAAGTTTTGGATTTTTCCCCTACAGTGGACCCAACATATCTTCTGCCAGGGCGTGGGCAGAGGAGCCAAGTTCGGCATCACCAGTCTTCCCTCAGATATCCACTCTACATCACATCCCACCCTGCAATGCCTCCTTTGTTTACAGAGGCAGGGGTTAGATATAATGGCCTTTGGAAGGAGAACTGAGCTCTACTTAGTCTCTTCATTTCTGTCTACCTTCCTTCCTAAATTCTTGCTCTTCATCGATGTGTCTGATTGCATTTTTGTATCTGTTGTCATGTCCTCACCTTGCTCCTAAATCCCTCTCTCCCCCTGCCTCTTTTCTCTACAGCCACAAGCCAGGACTCCCTCTCCACAGTCTGGTCCTTCTTGATGCTGGTCTGGTTCCCTGTGCTGGGGGCCCTTCCAGAGGGTCCAGGCCTCCTCTGACCCATAGACACTGAATAGCCTCACTGTGCCTCAGCTAAGTGGCCACTTGTATGCTTTAAGTGGCACCAAGATCCCTGATAAGCACATCTGCAAGGAACTCTGGGTTCTTCACTGGCAGCCACCAAACCTCCCAGTTGGGACACAGAAGAGAATTTGGGGGCTGAACTTTACCCTGGTTTCTTACCCTGGTTTCTAAGAGTGAGACTCTGACTAGAGGTGAGAAGACTCTAGGATAGATGGTGACTCGCTTGAAGACAGAACACTGCAGCTCAAGGAGAGTGATTGTGGAGGGGAACACCTGGCCATGGGACTTGCTGGTGTCACGCAAAGGCCTCACATAAGCTCCTGTGCACTCCTCCAGGAAGCCTTCTCTGTCTTCTGCCAACTGGCTAGGTTAGGGGCCCTGCCTCTCTCTTCCCATTGGTCCTTGGGTGCTTCCTGGGTCAGACTGTGAGCTTCCTCAGGGTAAGGACTGGGTCCGACAGTCAGAAAAGGAACCGTGTGAAAGTCAGAAAGCTAATGCCTGTGAATGGCTGGTCCCTGCGCTGCCCCTTGGACACTTGAGCTCTCCCAACTGTTTGTGCCAATGTGCTAGACTGCATGTACTCTGAGGACAGAAAGCAGGAGAAATGGCAGACCAACCTTTAGATCCTCTCCTGGGGCCCAAGCCAAATCCCAATCATTTTCTTATCAACAAAAGTGTAATTTCTGCTCTGATCCATAAATCTTGAAGTTTCTGTCTCTAGAGACAAATCTGGATCCCTAACTTCCATCACCACCGGCCCCAAGGGGAAAATGTTATCAAGGAGGTGCTAGGCACACACTTTATTATGAGTTAACGCTTTGGGGCCAAATGTCTTCATGTCCTCCTGCTCTAGAAACTAGACCATGATGGCTGGGGAGCATGGCTCAAGTTGGTAGAGTGCCTGCTTACCAAGCACAAGGCCCTGAGTTCAAACTCCAGAACTGCCAATCACATCCCCCCCAAACAAAATAAAAAAATAGACACGAATTTCCTTTCCTGAGTGCATAGGCAGGGATAAGCAAGACGGAGTCCTTGTAACCGCCACATAGGAAGACAGGAAATATAGCAGCTCTGCCTCTTATATAATAACTGTCAGTCTTCCTAATAAGAACTCTAATGCTGAGAATGGGCGTTGATCTTGCCCTCCAAACCTTTCTTTGATTTTGATCCTTCTTAGAGTTCTTCCTCTTTAGGAGTGAGGGGAGTGGCAGGCTCTGGATCTTCCTTAGTTAGGATAGGTAGAGAATAAAGGCTCCTCCTGGACTGTGAAGTCAGTAGTGCCAATCATGAAGAGACTAGAGAGAGTGTCCCACTCTTAGTAGCAGCTGGGAGAGACTGGCTGGCCTACCTGAGGACCAACAACCACCTGGCCTTTACCATCCCTGCCTGGAGGTACTGTGGCTGCAGCAGGTGCCAGCGACCCAATCGTAGTCCCTCACAGGGCCTGTATCAGTACCAGGAGGCTCATAACCAGGGTCATGGAGAAGAAGACACCCAAGAAAAAGCGGTCCATCACACGAGCTAGGCGCTTCCAGTCCTCATGGCGGCGCTGGGCTGCCCGGTGACTGCGGAAGGTGCTGACAATGGTGGCTACATGGTGTAGGAGGGCTTCCTGGTGGCACAGACACCATGGCTCACGGCAAGGGCCTGCTGGGGGACCAGTAAGAGGAAGGGGGCTGGGGGATGACTTGGGTGGCCTGGACTGCCCACAAGGTTCCCCTCGTTCCCGAACACACAGGCCCCTTGCCAGGTGTCCCAACAGGAGGGCCCGAGCCCATGCAGGCACTGGGCGGGCACTGGGACCACAGTAATGCAGATTCATGATAAGGATGGTGAGTGCTGTCGAGAACGTGACCATGGTCATAGTGGCCATGTAGTACTTTCCTGCAAGAAAAAGAGTCCAAAATAAGAAATGAGGATTCTCTCACATAAATAAATAAATAAAAAGTAAGTCCAAGAAATGAGGATTCTGAACTTCCCAGTTGCCTCCCCACAAGTAGACAAGTAGGAAGAAACCCTTTGAGTCCAATGGACAGAAAAAGTTAGGAGGTAAGAGCCAAGTTCTCCCCATCCCTCATTCCTACTAGTGCTGCCCTCAAATTGGTCTCACTGCTGGAGGCTTAAACAGTTATAGGTATGGTCTGGGCAAAATACTGATCCTTTCTGTAAAACTGAAATAACAAGAGAACCCACTCATAGGTCTGTGGTGATGCTCATCCGGGTTAATAAACGTCAAGTGCATAGCAAGGTGCCTGGCACACAGCAAGTACTCAATACATTTTACCTCCTGTTAGGGTATTGGGGACACAGAACTCCAGCTTTCTCCTTTGAGAAAAGGCTGACTCCTTCCTGCCTCTAGCGGCGGAAGGGTATTCCACAGGAAAGATGCCTGCTTTTCCCTCAACCCCCGCGCTCCCAGGACGCACGCACGCACGCACGCACTGAAGCAGGCCACTCTGATGACCCAGGTCTTATTGTCCCAATCCCTGGGCTCTCCAACTCTGCGGACGCCCACGCGCGTTGGCCAGGGAGGGGACTGGCTCTCCTGGCGCCACGGCCCACTCACCGATGAGTGGCACGCTCTCGGCCGGCGGCATGCTCTCCGCCAGGATCAGCTGGAAGACGGTGAGGGCCAGCAGCACGGTGACGCCGAGCGACACCTTCTCGCCGGAGTCAGCTGGCAGGTGGAAGGCGAGCGGCGCGAGCAGCGAGATGAGCACGCAGGGCAGCAGCAGGTTGCACACGTAGGCGGCGGCGCGGCGGCGGAGCAGCAGGGTGAACGTGACATCCGGGTAGGGTTCCGAGCAGCAGCCGTAGGTGAGCACGCGCCGTCGCGCCGGCATGCCCAGCACGCGCCACTCCACGTTCTCCACGAAGTCCGCCAGGCTGGCGGAGGCGCCGCGCGGCCGCACGTCCAGCTGGTGCCCGCCGTGCGTCCACGAGCCGAACGTCAGGCCGCAGCGCTGCGCGTCGAACGGGAAGGCTGACACGTCCACGCGGCAGGAGCTGCGCGTGATGGCCGGAGCGTCCCAGCGCACCGCGCCGTCGTGCCGCACGACCACATTCGTGCTGGCTGAGGCCGGTGGCTGCGTGTCCGCCCTGTGGACAGACAGGGCAGGGCTCATCTGGGGCTGTGGAAGTCAGGGCAGAGGAGTCTGAGCTCTTGAGGCTGGGCAGCATTTCTAAAGTGTGCCTCAGCCTTTGGAGATGTAGAAGAGACAATACCTCAAGGGCTCAGAACGGACTCAGATCTAGTCTAGGGCAGAGTAAAAAGGTCTCTGCAAACCGGGCGCTGGTGGCTCACGACTGTAATCCTAGCTACTCAGAGACAGAGATCGCGGTTTGAAGCCAGCCTGGGCAAATAGTTTGCAAGACCCTATCTTGAAAAAACCCATCACAAAAAAAGACTGGTGGAGTGGCTCAAGTAGTAGAGCCACTGCCTAGAAAGTCTGAGGCCCAGAGTTCAAATCCCAATACCACCCACAAGTAGCAGTGGGCTATACAGTGACCTTGGGAGTAATCTGCAAAACTCATTAGAGTAGCCCTAGAAGAGTCATGCAGTGTCATGAGACAGAATTGGCCCTGGACCACATAGTGGGTTCCCAGGAGACATTCGGCTTACTACAGCCTAAAGTGGAAGTGCTGATGGAGGGGCTGCAAGTTCCTGGCAGCTTAGAAGAATCCAAGGGGAGTTTCCAGGGAAGCAGAGCAACCAGATTAGGTGGTGGGGAGGAGGGTGATTGCACACCCATAACTAAAGGCAACTCTACAGAGGGGAAG